CTTTCATACTTGTCACTCTTGTTCTGTGTTGTGGCTGTTACTTTTCCTGTATAGTTTTATTTCCAATTACTGTAATATCTGTAACCTCCCACAGAGCGGTCCACATAGCCTAGACAGAACGAGTGTATTATTAAGTACTAGGAAACGCAATGGTGTCGATACGGAAATATTACACGAGACTTGTGACAGCATTGGTACTGCAAATGGAACCCACATGAACCAAATGGATCTTTGCATCATGCTCCGCATAGAAACCAGTGGAATAGTTAGTCTAGTTTGGGGACACTGTCTACCACGCGGCGAGGTAAGCAGCTATTCTAGGTCGTCTTTTTTTGTGGTTCTGTTTATAAATTGTACTATTTTGTTGTTTTACATGTAGACCTCTATATATTGTATGTGTAATAAAAACAATTTGTTTCAACTTGCAAATCAGGGCAGAACCTACCGACATTTGGATATCATAAGGAATCATAGTACAATATGCGAAAAGCTTAACAGAAACCAATTCGAATTTGACCTTTATCTTGTAGCCCAAACACACAAACATCATAAACAATGGAAAATGTCTCCAAGTGCGAGCAACGTCATCTCCATCTAAGGCCCATTCTTCGGTGTTATGGTCCGTTATCTTCTCAGCGCCGCCTCAGGGACCGCCAAATCTGGTAACAATCTTGCTGCCAGATTGTAAGAAAGTAAGAAGATTGTTAGTAAAGTAAAAAAAATGTAAGCTAGGTATAAGGAGTGTTTAGTAGATCGGACAAAGAGAAAAGTAATGGGAAACCACCGACCCGGTGGGGGCAAATGTACAGCCTGTCCGCCAAGTTATGCTTCTGCTCATAGCAAACTTATTATACCAAAACCAAATGCAGGTCGCTTTACGCGCTTCATTCCGTTAGCATTATTATTAATTTTTATCTATTGAATAAATAGGTGAATGAATATACCAGTATTAATAAAAATAAATTTAAAAAAATAAATAAATAAAAATAAATTTAAAAAGTAGTTTGTTTACTCTGCCAGGGTCAAACTCGTAACTACACTTAACCGACCGAACCAATTGCCCTCGCCGAACCCCTCACACCTAGCATGGGCAAGGAAATGACTGAATGAAAACGATAAATTAAGGATATTTTTTTTTTGATGAAAATGATAAATAAACTAATAAATGTCAAGTTATATTGATTGTTTATCAAGAGAAACTAAATTTCCACAGATCGTTCCTATGGCAGCTAAGATATAGTGGTCCGTCCAGTTCCGATATATGTACTGCTTGCCACAGAAAGACGGACCTATACCAAGTTTCTTGACTTGCCTTAACGACAGCTGAGAGACTAGTTCGCATAAGCAGATGGTCCGCATAAACAACTCGACTTATGATGCTGATCTACAAATGAAAGATACTTGAGCTGTATATACATATTATATAGTATTCTAGAAGAAAGAGCAGGATTTCGGTATCGATTTGTATTGCTTGGTAATGGAGTACTCCGCGGGTAGGACGTGCGAAATTCAGTCTCTAGCTCTTATAGGATCTGATGTCAACGCGTACATATATACGGACTGGCGGACAAACGGACGGACATGTCTAGATCGACTCGGCATTTGATGCTTATTAAGAAAACATATGCTCTGTGAGGTCGGAGATTCTTCCTTCTGCCTGTTACATACATTTGCATAAATCCATTATACCCATTTTTCTGGCGTAGTTTGATTTTTATAATTTTCCGCACATCAATTTCGCAACAATCTCGTATTTGGGAGTTGCTTTCATAGAGTTGTTGATTGTAGATAGTTGCGTTCGCTGATTTTTTTTTTTGATTGATTCTTTTTTATTCGGACGCAAAAATATAGCCTTTTCTTTTTACATACAACGAATTTTTGTTATCGTTCAGTCTATCTGAACCGGCCCTGCAATTCACTCAATGCGCGCTCCAGACTATTTCGTTTGCAATCTCGCTTAAGTACTCGCCATATCAGCAAACACTTGACACACACACACACACACACACTAGAGTGCAAAAACAATCCCGTTCTTTGCTACTGAGTGGAATATTAAAATTTAGCTTTCAGTCTACTTTGTCGTTTCTCTGAATCTGGAACGCGTTTCGGTGGATTGCGAAAAAAAAGACTAAAAATAAATAAACAGATATGTCTGGAAAATTACCAGTGACCTTTGTCAAAGGCTTCCACAACGAGGAGCAAGTGAAGCGCATGGAGTACCGCAAGTTTGGTAAAACTGGTTTGGAAATCTCCAAAATAGCGTTCGGGGGAGGGGCGCTCTGTGCCAATTATGGGTGTGTTTTTAATGGGAAAAATAACATAGAAACAGAAATGGCAATATGTATGTGTAAATTTGTTTGTTTATGCAGCTTCGACCTGGAGGAGGGCATTAAAACAGTGCACGACGCTTTGAAAGCTGGCATCAACTATATAGACACAGCGCCGTGGTATGGCCAGGGACGCTCGGAGGAAGTGCTTGGTAAAGCGCTAAGGGACGTGCCAAGGGAGGCCTACTACATAGCCACCAAGGTGGCACGCTATGAGCTGGACTACGAACACATGTTTGACTTTAGCGCGCAGAAGACCCGTGAGAGCGTGGAGAAGAGTTTGCAGCTGCTAGGCCTGGACTACGTGGATGTGATACAAATACATGACATCGAATTCGCCGAAAATTTGGAAATTGTGCTCAACGAGACTCTGCCCGCTCTGGAACAGTTGGTAAAAGAGGGCAAGGCCAAGTTTATTGGCCTATCCGCCTATCCAATATCAGTGTTAAAGGAGTTCATTTCTCGCGCCGAGGGCAGATTCGATGTGAGTAGCATTTCCACTCAAGAAGAGCTTTGTGCCTTAGCCAATTTCTGTCTTATTCCTCAGACGGTGCTCACATATGCACGTTATACTCTTGCTGATAATACGCTGCTCGACTATTTGGACTATTTCAAGTCCCAGAATCTGGGCATTATTTGTGCAGCCGCACATTCGCTGGGTCTGCTGACCAATGCCGGGCCGCAGCCCTGGCATCCAGCCAGCGATGAGCAGAAGAAAATAGCACGCAAAGCCGCCGAGCTATGCAAGAAGGAAGGAGTGGAACTGGGAAAACTGGCCATGTACTACACCATTCAACTACGCGATGTGTCCACATTTCTGGTTGGCAACCAAACGCGCCAGTTGCTCCAAATGAATTTGGCTGCCTTTTACGACGGCCTCAGTGCGAAAGAGCAGGAAGTGCTGCAGCATCTCAGAGAAAAGTGAGTGGTGGTCAAGTTGCAGTCGAACTTGCACTTGTACTCGGAAGTTATACGAAATTGTGCAACTCGGATACAATGTTACTATTGCATCACATCCGACTCCGTCGGCAGTCGCCGTCAACAACTGTCCAGACACAGAGACAGAAATACCAACAACTCAAAGTCCCAGTCCGTGCTTGAGTCGGGTCCATGTCGTTGTATATTTATGTGCCCACTCATTGACAATCTTGGCTATCGGTGCAGTAGGCAGCCAGCGACTCTCTCAAGTCTCTCAATCTCCTCGTGCATTGCATGTTGTTGTTGAACTTGTTATAGTTTCGTGCCGCAGTCGAATATGAGTAGTAATTTGCAATTAATGATTATTTTACTCTTTCGCTCTTATTCGCAGCATTTCTTTTTTTTTTTGTTGGCCAATTCAATGATCTCTAATTTTTACATATTTTTTAAACTATTTTAGCATCTTCGTAAAACCTTTCCACTGGGAGGGCAACGAACTGGAACGATATTGGGCTGCACTTAAAAAGAAATAGATCACATTGCGATTTTAATATTTAACGCTTTTGTGTATGCGCTAAATTATTTTTGATGAACCAACCGAAGTCAAATATTATTATTATTATTCATGATGATCCAAATAAAACCTTTACTCATGTACTTTAAAGTGGTTTCATAATTTAAAATTCATATTATAACAACTATTTTACACCCTCTTTACGCTTGTTAAAAATGTATCTTTATCCGTTCTACCTTAAAGTCCTTTCTCCAGTGGTGTCAGCTTTCATTCATTCAACATTTGACCTGCATTTTGAATCCCAGAGGCATGGATTCGACGAAATCTAAAAGTGCTTCTCAACTGAAAGATCCTTGGAAATGCGTTTGAACTCAAGTCAATTAGTTTTAGGCTATAAACATAATTATTTATAATCATTTATAATCGTGAATAGCAGCTGTCAAAGGTCTATCGGCACCTCGAAGCTTCTCTTACATAATAATAATTTAAATACTTATGTTTCGACATTGAAAATGACCGTTATTATCTGAATATATGTAAAGATACTTTGCAATGTGCTGTTATCTTAGAGTGCTGATAACCATTTTAAAGAATTATCAGCTTTACAAATGTATATTAACAATACGATAGCATATATAAAATGACACTAATATTTACATAAACAATTCAAGGACTATAGATTATATGTTGCAATACATTTGAAATCAGTGATATAATCCGATTGCTAAAAAACGGCAAACTCCTGGTGACTCTCCAATTATGTGATTTATCTTGTTATGATCAATTTAAAACAAATCCATTACGTCCAACTGACAAATTGCCTAAGCTTGCGAAAAGGCATTTTTGTTAGTTGCTTAAAAAAGACCAAATATGCAACTTCCACCTTTCGCTGCCATGGTCACCTGCCTGGCTGCCAACAAATGCACTAATTAAGCCTTAATTAACGCAATTGTTTATATATATGTATACCACAAATAAAAATAAAAACGAACCACAACATTTCTTGCTGCATGGAGAACCGTCGATGCGCTTCGCGTTGTACAAAACGGGGAAGTTTAATAACATTTTGAATAATGAATACTCACAACAACAACAACAACTGCAGCAGCAGCCGCAGCAAAAAGTAGCAAAACGAAATGCAATAAATGCACAACAAAAATCCGCATGAAAAGCGGAAATGCTGTGTATGAAGCCGCATTTTGTTTTCCTTAAACTGCGCTTTGCGTTTGTGCCTTGCAACAATTTTCTGCCTCTGCCTAAAAATCATTTTTTTTTTACATACACTTTCGTGTATTCAATGTATGTATGTATGTATGTGCGCACACTCGCCGCCACATTGGTCTATGCCAATAAATATAATCTTATCATTGTAACGGCGCCTGCCCGCCAGCTGATTGACCAGATTCTCTATTGCGCACGCGCTCTTTCTTTTACTCTCGCACTCTTTCTCTTTCTCAACACCAGCTGCCCAAGTCGCGCTTTGAGGCGACTGCGTTTATATGCGCTGCGCCGTCACAGTCGAAGCGTCAGTTTTGCTTAGAGCTTTGAACGATCAGGAGGTGTTTCGTGATAGAGGCCAAATATAAAATCTGTTATACACGTGTATATAACAAAAGTAATAGTCGAGTGCAATATGTTAAAGTTAAAAAATATGCTTCTGATTCTGTTGGGCTGCAATCTGTTGCTAGCCATCCACGCAACTGGAAATAATAATAAACAGCAACAACAGAACCAAGGTAGGCCACGGACATGCTCATGACCGCTGATTCATGCAAGGTGTGGAGAAATTTCAATGGCAAGTTAGGGCGATTCTAGGCAGACCAAAACAAAAGAAACCGGTTTAACAATATGCGTGTACCCGGCGTAGAAGGCCAGAAAGAGTAAACAGAGATGTGCCTAAAGTTGCTTGAACTCAGAGATGAGCATTTACCGTTAAAAAAGGTCGCTTTTTCAAAAAATGAATAATATTTTAAATTGTAAAGTTGTAGTGATTTAGATTACATTAGTTTCAATAATATTAACTGGAATTTGTTATACTCGTTTGTATTGTAAATTGAACAAAAAAAAAGAATATTTGTTTTTTAAGCTTCACACCTTGTGCTAATTTAATAATTTGTTTTATCCTTGTTAGTCAAATCCTACGACTTAAAGTATTTCACAAACTTTTGCAGAAACCTGGGAGCAAGACCTGTCGGACACTTTTAAGATCGAGGGCAGCGATCAGGGTATACAAAAGGTTAATCTGAAGTGCGGTGCCAATTCGATGAACGTCATGTTGGAGACTGAGAAACCATTTACTGGTGTTATGTACACACGTGGTAGCTTCTACAAGCAAACGGCCCCGTGTTTCATGAAGCCCACCTCGAACCAGGGTACACGCACATTGGAGATGAACTTTCAGCTAGACCAGTGCCAGACTCTCAAGGATGGTGAGCTTTATACGAACATTGTGGTTATACAAAACGATCCGGAGCTCATAACCCCTGGCGACTCGGCTTTCTCGCTGGAATGTGATTTCCGTCAACCACGCAGTCTGGATGTTGAAGCGAGCATGCAGGCTAGGGACAGGTAAGCTAAAGTGAAATAATAATATCAATAAAAATACTATTTAATGCTAGTACAAAAAATGAGTAAACATATATACATGGATGTATACGATCTAAACTTAGAAATCCACAAAAATTGCGCGGAGCACGCGGTGGAACCCGCCAACGTCAATAGAACTTTACCCTATGACTACCCATTAAGTTCTTCAACTATATTCACTTTGAATAGCTGTACTTAAGGTACAAATTCAAACTTGAAATTTTTGCCTTTGCACGTTATCTAAAAAAATAACCCTCTTAGTATATGTGGCCTAACTAACTCACAAACACAGAACACAACATAACCACATTAGATACATGCATACATTCCACAGAGTTGCGACCAAATCCAAAATAACACTCACTAGTCCTGATCCCGCGGCACCAATGGACAATCTACACAATTCGGTGTTTAGCAACAGTGATACAGTAGAATACATACCAAAGTTTTCCAAACCAAATGAAACCATACGCCTGGGCACGGTTGAGGAAGTGACTCTACCGCTGACTCATCAAAGAGATGAGCTTTAAATATAGCAAACACTACCACCACAAACAATACAAAAACATGTCACAAATAAATAATTAAAACTACAGGTGAGACACCAACACACGCTTTTTGTTCTTTTAATTGTTAATATTGTTACGATGCTGCTGCAATTTTACATTATTTCAGTAACTTGATTAATTGATCAATAAATTTTCACAGGAAAAACGTTCAGAATTCCACACTGGCGGCCTAAATGCAACCGGACATTATTATTCATTTAAATGCTCTTTTTAAAATCTTTATCCTGTGATATTTTTTAAGTTTGGGTTTAATAAAAAAACAAAAGTCAAAAAAAAATGTATGGTCTTGAATCTGGCGCGCTCAAAGTAGAGTTGTTTTTTTAGAACACAAAACAGCTGTTATTTCTTTCGCAAAATCTGGCATCGCCATCGTGATTCTGTTGGTCTGGCAGGCCTTGGCAAATAAAAATGTACAATTAAATTTGCAGTTTTTGTCAGAAAAGAAAATTGTTAAGGCTTCAAGAAGCGCTATAATTCAGCTAGGTGCATTTCCAGACGATAAAAATCAAGTGTTAGCTGGTTTCAGGCATATGCACAGCCCACACATATACAAATAATAGCAACTCAGACTAATTGCTCATCATCTGTTGTGGTTTTCGTTATCGTTGCACATCTTGAGTTGCACAAAGAACGTCAATAATCTGTAATTTAATTAAAAGTCAGCAATTGCAACGCATTTAATGTTCTAAAATGGATTATCGTGTTTTTCTAACACTGTTGTTCGTATTGAGCGGCACGATAAATGTTTTATTAATCAAGTAAGTGAACTGAAAGTAAAAACTGCGCATATTTCTAAAATTAATTTTTGGAAAATAAATTGCAGATGGACGAGCATTCAATTAGTGGAGGGCAGCGATGAAAAGTTGCATCGTTTTCAGCATCCTGTGTTCTTAACACTGCTCATGTTCGTGGGCGAATTTCTTTGCTTTGGAGTGTACAAGGTGGTTTATGCGCTAATGAGTCGACGCGGGGTAAGTAGAAAGCCAAATAGAATATACATTAATTTAAAAATGGTTTCGATTTATGTCTCAACCAGCTTAGCACAGATCAAAACCTCGTTTTGACCAGCGGCAGCAATGAGTTTCATCCGTTCAGCATGTTGTTGCCGTCATTTCTGCGTACAATTGCATCAATTTTGCTGTTTACTGGCTTGTACTTGACTTATGCTACAAGCTTTCAAATGATAAGGGGTGCGTTTATCAACAATCGTATTTGCTGGCTCTCAGCACTTCAGTATCTTGTCTCTTGCAGGCGTTGCACTGATCTTTGTGGGCCTGTTCAGCACCATGTACTTGAACCAAACGTTGACAACACGCCACTGGCTAGCCATTTTCACAATGACCTGCGGCATCGTGGACATATTGGCCTTGGATGTGCAGCGGGTGGAATACGATAATCAAACGGTACCGCATACGGATCACAACACTATTTTGACAGGCGACTTATTGGTAATAATTGCTGAGGTGCTGCAGGCCTTTCAGTATGTGTACGAGGAGAAGCACTTGAAGGCCTCCGATATGGTGCCCATCCAAGCTGCTGGCTGGCAGGGACTTTTTGGAATAATTATCACAATCTTGTCAGCGATTTGCCTAAACTTTGTTCCTAGTGTTGTGCCCTTCAATGATAGCTCGCGTGGTGTCTTTGATGATCTAGGTGACCTTATTCCGCAGCTACGTGGCAACACAATGTTAATCCTTGCACTTATCGGCTTTTCATGCTCCTGTGCCATTTACAACTGTGTGGGACTCTCGATCGCAAAGTTCTCATCTAGTGCTAATCGTCTGCTCGCTGATGGAATACGAGTCTACCTCATTTGGGCGTTTGTCATCTTTGCCGAGTGGGAAATTATGAATCTAATTACAATTATGGGTCTTCTCATACTACAAATGGGTATCGTCATGTACCGGCAGGCCATCTTTCTTGAATGGTATCGCGCCTTACTGGGTCGCTGGCAGCGCAGTCGTTATATGGACTTGAGCGCCAATGCTGGGCCCACGCCAAGCACCCAACCAGCGGATGTTATATAAAGTGTGGTAGTGACAAAGTTTTGAATTTATTGTGATAAGAGAAGCGGGCTGATATATAACTATCCAGTTTTGGGATGCATCATTTAAATTTACTTATCAACTGAAAATAATACGAATAAATACCTTCATGCGTTAATTAAACTTAAGTGTATTTTGTTTCTTAAATTTATGCAGAAATTATTTACAATTAATATTAACGCAACATACATATATACGCTAATTATCTTACCTTTATGATGTGTTCCTTTCTAAAGTAATTAATGGGCCTATAAAATAAGTTTTTGTCTCTGTACACTTTATACTTTTGACGTGATTTTGTTATTACGAAAATTTTAAATTTTAGAACTCTGGAAAGTGAAAAAACAATCCGGTATATAGAAGATATAGCCCTGATATAGTATTGTCAAACATCGATTTTTCAAACAAGACCCTAATTTTCAATTCGCCGTAAAAACGTACTAACCACAATAAATTTCCATTGCATTGAAATAAGAGATGAATGGCAAGCATTTCTCAGACAGACTTCTTTTGTTCAATGCCCAGAATACGTTCGCCTATACCCATAAAGTAGACCATCTGAGCTATTCCAAAAAGTGGAGCAATTACAATCATTCGACACAGCCCACCCTTGAAGAATGCCTTAGGTCCTTCGTACTTCAATGTTTTGCTAGGTGTAGGGTAATGTATTAGTGTTTTCTAATCAGAAAAGTTCGTATGATGCCTAAACCTACTTGATACAGTCGAAAATGCCATCAAATTCCTTTTCGCCATCCGCCTTTTTAATGGCTTGCAAGCGTGTCTTAATCACATCTAGGGGCGTGACCGCAAAAGCAGCTGACATTCCCGACACCAACCCAGAGATAAGGGACCACCAAAAGACGGCTTCGCCTGAGGGGCCCGGCTTTCGGGGTCCACTGTTATTCAAAAAGGCAAAGAATGGAAAGTAGATGACCGAGAAAGTAATGTCTCGCGCGCCAGTGGCCCGGACGCCCTTGTATAAGCCGAAGATGCCATTATCTTTTACAAGCTGCTTGGTAATAGACCAAGCAGTCACCTTTTTTAAATCATGCCCACCCACACGTCCGGCATCCTGCAACTGAATCTTTAAAAGCTCCATAGGCGTAGTCACAATAATTTGAAATGCACCAGCTAAACCTCCGGCCAGACATTGCATGAGCAGTGTTAGTTTTCCGTCCGGAGTAGCCAGGTGATAGCGAAAATAATCGTTAGCGGTCAGTTTGATTCCCTTCTCAGGGGTGATCAATAATATGTTTACGGCTGAGCCGCGGTACATGCCAAAGTAACCCTCCGCCGCGTAAATCTTGCGGAAGCAATCGAACCTGGTGAAAATTATAAATGATAAGCACAAGAGACCAATTTTCGATTGGCACTAATGCTTACATCACTTACATGCTAGTGTACATGCGTTCACCATTGGGACCGATTTGTTGATTTTGCAGTCGCGTCTTCACCAAATCCAACGGAAATACACATGTCACACCGATGATGCCCGCAATGCCGCCGTTAATGACTCTGGGCAGGACGCTGTTGGAAATTTGGTTACCCATTCGATGTAGTCTATCTGAATCTGACCAAAAGCTTACGCAAAGCTCATATTCTTCTTTTCAGTTGCCATTAAATCACACGAAATTTTTAACTTCTAAATTTACAAAAAAAAATTACCCTTTACATTAAAATAAGAACTTAAAGCTATAGCCCAAATTTTTACCAAGACTTAAAACATTATGGGTAGAGCCTATATGTCCAGAGATACTATGCCTACTATTTTTCGTAGTAGCTGTGCGCTTGAAGTCTATGAATGAAGAACTGAAAATTGAAATCAACGTTTTTCACTCATTTAAGTTTTGTGGAACCTTGAAGTCGATGTCGGATGGTAATAAAAAATCTGCATATTATACCCTTCTCCATATTTTCATAGTTGCAGGTGGAGTCGCTGAGAAAAGTATTTTCAAAATAGGGTGAATTTTTCCAAAAGTGTAAAACACCTCGAAGTTAACTTTTCATACAAGGACCATCACAAAACTACAGTCAAAATTTCTTCTTCCTAACTCTGACGGATTGGGCTATGGATTGATCAAAAAGACAATGACAATATAAATAGAGAAACTAAAGACAATTTTGAATATTTTCAAAAATAAATAAAGTAAAAGTAAAAAAGTCCCTTAAGATTCGGCTTGAAAAACGGGTGTATAAAATCAGATCGGCCCCAAGCCTACTTGTAAAGTTTTTATTTATCTAAATTCATTTAGGAAGAACTTCACCCTTTTCGAAAAATCATCCTCAATCTACCATAAAAAACGGTTTTAGTCAACATTTCTGGCACTGTCATAACCCACCAAAGATGTGAGATATGTAGATTGTGGAAACAGGCGCGGACAGGTTTGAGGAGCTTACCCGAATTTCGAATCTCTGGCTTTGTTTCGGGAAATTAACTGTCAAGCATATATTCACTTAAGGAACAGACTACTAATAGATAAATACAGCCAAAATTTTGACGGTATTTCGAGATTTTAAATTTTAAAAAATATTAGGTCACAACTATAATCTTCATGTATTACGTCGTCCCCCTATGCAAACAAGTATTACATAAAAAATTATTGTTAAATTATTTATTACATTATACAAATAAATTATGCACATTGTTGTAGTCGAAAAAATTATACAAATTTTAAATTATAACAAAATTAAGTTATGCAGACTACTTTTGTTCAATACCCAGAATACTTTCGCTCATACCCATAAAGTAGACCAATTGAGCTATTCCCAAAAGTGGAGCAACTACAATCATTCGACACAGTCTGCCCTTGAATAGTGCCTAAAGTCCTTTGTACTTTAATGTTTTGCAAGGATTTAAAATGCACCAGCTAAACCTCCAGCCAGACATTGCATAAGCAGTGTTAGTTTTTCATCCGGAGTACCCAGGTGATAACGAAAATAATGGTTAGCGGTCAGTTTGATTCCTTTCTCAGAGGTGATCGCCGCGTAAATTTTGCGGAAGCAATCGAACCTATTTAAAATTATAAATGATAAGCACAAGAGACCAATATTTGATTGGCACTAATGCTTACATCACTTACATGCTAGTGTACATGCGTTCACCATTGGGACCGATTTGTTGATTTTACAGTCTCGTCTTCATCAAATTCAACGGAAGGACATATGTCACACCATCGATGCCCGCAATACCCACGTAATTTCTCTGGGCGGGAGGCTGTTGCAAATTTGGATACCCATTTGATGTAGTCTATCTGAATCTGACGAAAAACTTACGCAAAACTTTAAATTGAAATTTGAAAACGTATAATAGTTGATGTAATAAAATGTCGGTACATTTCACTAACGTAATAATATTATGTCAGTTTTTGTAGAATATATGTATGCATGTCAATATGTAATATTGCTTTAATGTTTTTAACAGTTACATTATTCGTTGTCTAAAAGCAAAAAAACAAAAATGCAATTTACTAAAAAAATCATAACGGCAAAAGAACGGGCAAATTGTAAAAGCTAATTGTAATTGTATTATCTATAGAAACATTATTTGCAATTTTATAGATATGTTTGGCTAAAATAAACACTTACATAATATAGCATTGATTTGAATTATCTTATTGTCATTGGGGTAGAAGTTCTTTTGCCTGTAATAGTTTCTATTATTACCTTTATAGATACACATACATGTGCACATATATATATAAACATTAATATATATATATATATATATATATATATATATATATATATATATATATATATATATATATATATATATATATATGTGTGTTTATATATACACCTACAAGGGATAAATAATTGCATATTCTAATAGCGCACTTTCACTTTTTACATCGAAATTAGACAGCTTTAACAATAACAACAATAGCGTTAGCGCATACATGTACATCTAACATTTAGAGAGGAAATGCTTCTGGATAACTTTCGTATGCCATTTACTTCTTTTGTACGCCCAGCAAGCCTTCGGCTACGCCCAAATAGTAGACGGTTTGTGCAATACCAAACAGTGGAGCAATCACTATCATACGGCAAAGGCCTCCCTTGAAAAAAGCGGTAGGTCCTTCGTGCTTCAGCGTTTTGCTGGTGGTTGAAAAAAAAATAACAAAATAACAGACACACAAAAAAACGTACTTATAGAGGAGCTTACCTAATGCAATCAGAAATTCCCTTAAACTCTTTTTCGCCATCGGCCTTTTTAAGAGCCTGCAAGCGGGTTTTGACTACGTCAAATGGATTGACCGCCAGGGCTGCCGTTGAACCAGCTGCCAAGCCGGCCAAGAAGGAGCACCTTATGTATACAAATAAATCAATTAAATCAGGCAAAAGAAAATCGGTTGACCATGCCTACCAAAATACCGCTTCACCAGAGCCATCGTTCCGCCTAGGACCCAAATCATTAAGTGTGGCAAAAAGTGGAAAGTAAATGACTGAAAATGTGACATCACGTAGGCCCGTAGCACCAATGCCCTTATACAGGCCAACGATGCCCTTCTCTTTGATTAGTTGCGTTGCCAATTGTGTGGCTGAAACTTTTTCAACGGTTTTGCCAGCCAATTTTGCGGCAGCGGCAACACGTCCGGCATCCTGCATTTGAATTTTCAGCAGCTCCATGGGCGTGGTCACTATAATTTGGAAAGCACCAGCCAAACCGCCAGCCAACATTTGGCAGCTCATTGGCAGTTTACCATCCTTGGTGGTAAGTTTATGTCGGAAGTAATCATTCGCCGTCAGTTTGATCGCCTTCTCAGGTGTAATTAACAAAATATTCACGGCTGAGCCGCGGTACATTCCAAAATAACCCTCTGCAGAGTACGTTTTGCGAAAGCAGTCGAACCTGGAATTGAATGTAAACCATAATTAGCATGGATTCCATAGGAATGATCGACATAGGTTCGCACTTACATGCTAGTGTACATACGTTCGCCATTTGGACCGATTTGCTGGTTCTGCAGCCGAGTCTTTACCAAGTCCAATGGAAATACACACGTGACGCCAATAATGCCAGCAATGCCGCCGTTAATGATCTTTGGGAGCAATCTGTTAATTATATATATATATATATATATATATGTATGTATGGTATTTAAATAGTGCGCGTGGTTTCTTATTGGCTAATTGACAAATATTTGCACTGCGTTAACCCTTGCATTCATTATGTGTGTGCAACAACAACCAACAGTTCCCAGGCAATCAACCTTGACATTGATCTAGCAGCGATGCTGCAAGTGGCACCTTTTGCTGGCGATCTATATCGATAAATCGGTAATCGACAATCGACAATCGGTAATCGACAATCGGTTATTGGTGGTAAGAGCACATTTTAAAATGATGCGAGAAAAGAGATAAGAATAAAAAATTTACACTAGACTTTAGCCTCGTTTGTTTATTAGACGAATATTAAAAATAATTGGGAGTCTGCCAGCATACCTTAAAAATGTCTCAGATTTTCGATGTTTGGCGCTATTTATAGTTGGCACCTCAAAATACAAATAATGCAAGCGAAAAACTGCGAGTGAATAAATGAGGATTGCAATATGCAATCTAATATCATTCGATTTGAATGCGCAGGCGTTTTTTGGGCCCCATAGAGGGAGCATTGACTTTTTATCAGTAGCTACGAACGTAATATCAAATAATTAAATAAATATGAATCAGCTAATCTTCTACAAAACAAATAAACAAATACCTAAATACATTTGTATTTACCCATCTATATGTAATTGTTTTTAATCGGTATTGTTTTGTTTTTTTTTTTTTTTTTTTGTAGTTTTTAAACAACTTACGCAAACTTCTGCTGCGGAGATTGCAGTGGCTGATTTGCTATTAGTTCGTCAGGTTGCTGTTGTATTGCTGCCATTTTGCTAGAATTAAAGAAAATAAAATAATTCAATCAGTCCGCCAAAAGCCAACAATAGTCTTCATAAATGATCTAGAGTTTTACAAAAAAAAATCTATCGTTAAACAAACTTCAGTTTATTGCCACTCAGTCATGTAACTTTACAATGAGGATACAATGAGGATACTAATAGTAAATAATTATTGAATAAACTTAATTCTATAAAAGCAAATTATTCGCTTGACGACCGGCACTTTATAAACAATATATACCAAATAAATGCAACATATGTTACTGAAATTTCATATGGGATTTGCTTATTGAAGATAAATGTATATTTAAAATTTTATCTGTATTAAACAATTGATACGCGGTCTTAAGCTTATCTTTCCATACACATTGAAAAGGCGACATGTTAGTGGGTTTGTGTACAGAGTGTGCTGGGCAGGGAGGGGGTCCAAGGTTTATTGATATGCAACAAAAGCGGGTTCTGGTTCTTCAGAGATTAGCAACCATATCAAATGGGAGCGCTTGCGGGGAATATACACTATGTCAATTTCTATAAACTTGTTTACGCAAGTGTGTATTAGTGTAAAAATCACATTAAAGCGTTAATTAAATTAGTAAAATCACTTATAAGGCTGAATTGTACAACTTCTAAATGTTCAGTTAACCGAAATTGAATAACGGTATTACCGTAGTGGGCGGCAGATAAGCGAAGTGGGCCTTTTTATATTATCTTTAACGACAGAATTATTGTAGATATAAAGATATGCGGTCCGAAAAACACCGCATTGTAGAAGGACAAAATGCTGCTTGGCCCAATGTTTCGAAGAAAAATCGTTATATCATTATAAAGCGATTTAGATTAAAGAGCAACACATACACACACACACACACATGCACATATACAATTTGTTAATTGTATATGCATATGAATACATACATCAGTGTGTATGTACAATTTGTCTTTTAATTGCTGTTATCAAGCCATTTCACATTATCGATTACTGTTACTGCCTGAAAACTGCTAGTCGAACAACTTGGCGTTTGTTGAATTAGAACAGGTAGTGCAACTAAAAGATCATCAATGTTTTTGTCATTTCTTACTTTTTGCCCATTTTTACGTAATTTTGATGTACATCTGTTTATCACTGGGTAGCAGACAGCACCACGTTATAAATTAAATTGATTGATGCACACTTTACATACATACATGCATATACATAACTGCGCGTGTGCCTATTTGTGTGCATATGTATATATGTGTTAGTGCGAAATATCAATACGTACGCATAAATATATGTACATATATGTATGCGTTTTGGGTAAATTTTTTAAAGTTGATTGGCGTGTGTGCCGTCGACGCAGTTGAAATTAAAGACAACAGCAGCCAAACTCACATATTTATTTGTTATTGCAATCAGCTGTGTTAATTTACTTTTTCACTTTACAATTAATAGTTTGGTTTAATATGATATATGACTATATGCAATAAAACGAAATATACATATGTGTATTTGTTTTCCTACGATTTTCGGCGCTATGTCGTCAGCGTGCGGCACTCAACACTTAAACAAAAGCTTAGGGTGTTAATGCGGTTACTGCAACGGGAACTCTCCCAACGGACTGCCGGCGTGTACTGTTCATTTAAGTTTTTATTGTAGCTAACAAACTGCTGGGTGGAAAGCTCATAGAGCTCATAATTTATCGATTGCGCCAGAGTCTGGCAACGCTTGTGCGGACAGAGTGCGTCCAAGAGTGTCGAAAACCGTTTTACAGCACTTGAATTATTTCGATTAGTTCTTCGTTTCGTCGACTTGGACACAATAATATTGTTGATAAGTTCACAGAAGCTAAAGTTATTACTTTTGGACAATGAGTTCGGCACGTTTTGCTCGTTCGGGCCGCGTTCGAATATGCATTCTGATGAGCATGTTTGTTGTGCTCATCATGATGATTGTCATTTACCACATGTCGCAACAGCAACTTGACGAGACTCGAGTTTTTCGCCAACATTGCGAACAAAAACAGGAGGAATTGAACATAAGGCTACAGTGTAAGTTGCCATCCCACCGATGTGGCGCGTAGTTTTCCTTTATGCAGTTTTTATTTCATGCAGCGCTCACCGACAACAAGTTGGCGGCAGAGAAGAAGGTGGAGGTGATGCGTGCGGAAAAGCAAAGTATACAGGATGAGTATGAAAAGCAACAGGACGCAGAGCGTACACTGCAACAGAGGTACGATGTGCAAATTAGCAAATACAAAATACTCGAGGACAAACACAATGAACTGCAGGCTGAATGCGTCAAGAGCAAGAAGAAGCACATCGAAGATACAAATGCGTTGATCGCTCAGTTACAGCAGCTGCAACAGGACAACAAACAGCACGAAGCAACAGTGTGGAAGGTGCGTCAGTAACCTGTAGCTATATTTTCAATGTGCACTTTCGCTCGCCAAAAAGTTAATCTTTGCATTGCTGCCTTTTTATTTAAAGGATAAGTACGAGGCGATTCTTAAGGAATCCGAACACAAAACACACACCCTAGAGGAAGCACTTAGCGAACTCAAGGCACACTGCGAATTAAAGGCGCAGCCGCAACCGAAACACCAACTTGTTAAGCCAGTCGGGTCGCTGAGCCCCGACACGACGCCCACACATCACTACAGTCCCGCCCAGCCAGCGCACAGTATTGAGAAGCCCCGCAACGAAAAGTCTTTCAACGAGCAAGTACAAGTGAGTCAAGGATTGTACAGAATAGGCGTCGCTAAGACGAGCCAAGCAACTAACGCAACAACTAAACGCCATGGTGTCGGTGTGGAACAGCGGCTGGAACTAAAACAGCAACATTTGCAGCGCTTTGATCTGCGCAATAATAATAGTCTCATACTAAATTCTGTTGAAAATTTTCAGATTGTGCCCAAGGGCGTGAAAACTTTAGCGGATGAATCCAATAAACAACAACAGCAAGATCAGCCCGTACTAGCCGCGGCCGCTGCCGCTGGAGCCGTTTCGCCGCTAAGCGCGCCCCGGAAGTCCAACTCTAGTACTCCAAATGCCGAAGCATCACAAAATGCCTCTCTGGCACCAAAAGGCGTAGCTAGCAGCAGCAGTAGTGGTCAGCCGCCTTTGGTTATGCCGCCAGCGAAGCCATCAGCTGAGGCCAAAATAGAACGCAAGCTACCTGAGAATGTGGCACCTATTCCTGATAATTTCGATGGCAGAGGTGAGCAAGCGGCGGATGTAGATACGGCTGCCGAAGAGCTGCCCAAAAACGAAAACAACAATCGATATTCCAATGTGCTGGACGATTTGGAGTCTAATAAAAACCAAGGAATAATTGACTCTGGAGCCCATGAAGTTAAAGATGCTTTAAACGAACAAAACTTCAATTTGCCAGGCGCTGAACACAATTTATTTGACAATGATATTGGAGCTGCTCATGCTGCTGAAGCGGATAACAAACTGTTGGCCGCCGATGCAGCCGCTGTTGGTGGGGGTGGCGGTGACGATGATGACGACGTTATGTTGGGGGATGTGGCGGTAAAGCAGCCCCAGCATTTGCTCGATAATGACAACTTAAATAATGAAATCGCTGGAGATCAGGGCAAGGAGTTTGCCGATGCTGTGCATCTGGACGATGGCATGGATGAGGATCAAGATGGTAATATTGATTAATGTTATTTCTCGACATCTTACTTAAGATACATTTTTTTTAGAGGATGACTACAATGTGCCCGCACGCAAGGCGGCCGCCGATTCGCCTGTTAGAAATTAGAGGATTCCCTGTAAATTTAATAGTCTATTCTATACATTAGTATTTTAAACCGGCATCTCTACTGGCAAATCTGATTAGCTCTTCTAGCTAAAAACAAATACCAGCCAATTTAGTTGATAAGGTTCAGTCCCATTCTCATTAATAAGATTTCATTGAAAATTAGGAGGCAGAAGTCCCACGCAATATGATGGAATTCGCAAACTGTTGCAACTTGGAATATTTAATAAGATTCGCAAAAAACTGTTCAGTGCACAACATTTAAGTTTTTTAATAATTTCTATATTGTTATTTAAACATTTAAAAATATTTAACTGTTAGTACTTGAACATTTTCAAAATTGATTTACCTATACATTTATTTATATCTATTTGTTCAATGTATGCAAGTAACTATTTGAAGTTTTGCAAACAGCGTGAGATATATGAACGAAAGCTACAAAACAATCTAAGTGTTCAAAGTATCTTACTAAGCGGTATAAATGTAAATTGTGGCTATGTTTAATTAATTCCTATAGTCGGCTGTGAAGCGCTCATTGGGTATCAATAGAAGTACTTAAATACTCAATGCGGTGTTCCAGTTCTCGTGTATTGTGTTGAATTCTCCCTCCTAATATTTGATGGCTCTAGTGTTTTTCATCTGTCTTGAAGTTGTAAGTATATACTTTGTTTTCTGTGATAAAAACTTGCAAAGCTGCATTTTTTCGTTGCTTTAAACAATTGTGTCTATACTCATTTATTATTCAAGTATATGATAATGATAATTTAGTTAAATCGTAAGTCAAATTGGAACGAACAAACTGTGTCTACATTTTGAAACACAAAAACTTTATTTGAAGCATAATGAAATGAATTGCATAAATAATAATCATAAATGTTTTTTGTTCTCTTAATCTAAATATTTTTTTTAATGAGATAATTAAATTAACCGGCGCTCAGACAAAATTTTAACATAAAAACTGAAACAGTCAAATACAAAAAGAGTATAAAATGAGTTTAAGATTACAATTCAGTGCATCATTGTGTGTGAGCTATAATCCATGGATGCAGCATGATCTGATCTAGCGGCATTCGATGCTGGGGATTCAACACTAATAGCTTGGATATTAAATGAGTTGCCGCTTTGGAAACGTGTTCTGGAAGTTTATAGTCCACCTTAAGTATCTTTTTGTATGTCTCCTCATAGTTTTTCGAATAGAATGGCGCATGACCCACCAGCAGCTCAAAACATAGCACACCCAAGCTCCATAGATCGACGTTTTTGGTGTGCGGTTTGTTTAACACCATTTCGGGCGGTAGATAATCAACAGTGCCGCAGAGCGTCATACGCATAGAATTTGGCTCATGAACAGACCAGCCGAAATCTGCTATCTTTAACACCCCTTTGTGACCCAAAAGAAGATTCTCCGGCTTAATGTCCCGATGTATAATATCACGTTCATGCAAATACAACAGCGCCGAGCAAAGCGCCTTGATATATGTGGCCGACTGACGGTCATCGAATCGTTTTAGTGGCTGCGCCTGTAGAGCACTGAACAGCGTGCCTTGAGGTGCATATTCTAAAACCAAATAGATGCGCGCATCGTCATGAAAATATGCATACAAACGCAATATATGCGGATGTCTTAGATGCGATTGGATTTCAATTTCGCGTCGCACCTGGTGCTCTACATTTGTCTCGCCAATCTGACGCTTGAAAAGTACCTTCAGCGCAACGACAAACTGGGACTCCTTTTCGCGCGCCAAATACACGTTGCCAAATTTACCTCGCCCTAGCTGGCGACCGATGTCAAAGTTGCTCAATGCCCATGTCTTTTTGGGTTTTGCTGATGCTGCTTCTGTTTCTGTGTGTAGATGTATCTAAACAAGTTCTTGATTTAATTACTGAATATAGTTTTGACTTACCAGTCTTTTCTTTATCAGTGCTGTTGCCTTTTGTGCTAGTGCTGTTTCCAGGGATCGCAGACGGCGGTTGATTCTCGGTGTTAGCCACAGCCGTGTTTAGTTTTTTTGTAGGTCCTGCTGCTGCAGTCGCTGCTGTAATCTGTTGTTTTTGTTGTGCACCCATCATAGCCTTTGTGCCCGGCTTTGATAATTGTGCGCCAGTTTGACTGCAGCCAGGTGCTGCCGTCAAAGTTTCAGTCGTGGGCTAATAATATATGTATATTTGTCATAATGCAAAAGTGATTTTAAGCCCGAATTACTAAGTATACAACCTTTTTTGTTAATAATTGCTTTTTTTGCATTGCAATTGCAGCTACTGCTGCAGAAGTTCCAGTTCCTGGTTTGAGAAATGCATTTTCCTTAGCACGCAATACATTGTTCGGCTTGTGCGACATGTTTATTACACTAAATTAAATTGTAATGCCAATTGAAAGCTTTTAAAAAGTCAATTGGTACAAATTTCTGGGCTGAATTACTGTGACCTGTGTGAAAATAAAATGCCGTTTGTTTGAATTGGAAGCGCGTGTATGCGTTTCCGGGTGAATGCCGATAACAAGTCTTTCAATTGTTGTTTGTGTAGTTGAATGGCAATAGGGCGATTTCGAATCCCTGCAGCAGAATTTGTTAATTTTAGTGTGAATACATATATCTTGAATATTTTTTTTTTAAATTATTGGGCCTTGACTTTAGAAACCCTAAAAGTGTCATTGTTACTTTGTATATATCCATACATAAATACTTGCTATAAGTAACAGATACAAAAATATCGCTGATATCCAACGTGTTACTGCTGCATTGTGAATGTCTATATGTATAGAGCAAGAAAATGGCGTAAAAGTCGAAAAATCGTTTAGAAAATTGTGTAAAACTTTAGTGCAAACTAGAATATAGTGTAAATCATAATAACAAACAACATGTTCCCCAGTGGCAATACCAATGCCGATCTGGGCTTCAACAAACACAATCAATATATGGCGCAACCACCACATTTTCTATCTGCCCCAGGTCCCGGACCTGGTCCGGTTCCCGGTCCTGGTGTCGGTAATCCATTAGGAGCTGCAGCACCCGTTATGCCAATGAACATGCAGGGTAGCATAGACTGGGCGCAATTAGCACAGCAGTGGATACACATGCGTGACTCGTCAGCAGCGCCGCCGCTTGCTAATTTTAGCATGAATATTCCGATTGCGCCTCCACCGCCGATTATAAGCAATGCGCCAGAATACCACCTCCATCATCAACAAGAGCTGCGCCAGCGACAACCTAAAGCTGAAACGCACTATCAAGAGCACGGCGAGGCGGAAATGGACATGGATTTGGATGACGAGGACAACGAAAATATTGGACGTGCAATGCATAGCATTGATCATTTACCCCCTCCGCCAGTAGTTACGCAATCACAATGGATGGCTGGCGGTGCAAATGATGTTCCCATCACAGTTTCATCTAACGATGCGGGTGAGTGATCAACGCCATTCCGTTCGCAATGTACTCAGATGCATACTCTTAATCCCAAACCTAGTCGGCTCTGACACTCAACAGTGGAATGATTGGTCAACGCGCAACAATCCCACAGCCCATATTCCATCGCTCTTGAAACTCAACGTCTGCAATCCCAATGAACCAGCGCAGCTGCTGCAGCAAACACAGCAGCCTCTGCCTATTATTAGCAGCATCGGCGGCGGTGGCAGCGGTAGCGTCAGCACCGAAATTGATGCAAATAAACGTAAAATGTTGCCTGCGTGGATAAGGTAAGTCCAAATTAAAAACAAAACGACCCAAAGAGCTATTTTATAAGCGGTTCACCTAGTTCACCTAGTTTATATCAGCATTCCATTCGAAATTAAATTATCAAACAGCTCAGTGATATTTCGGTTATATATGTTTTGCAGGAGATGAGTGCAAATTGTTATATAAGCCCCGTACGGCTTTTCTGCTTGTACCACGTCCCGTTTTTAGGTTCTAATAAAATATCTTATCCTTACCCAACAGTTACTATAACATATAATTGCCATATACATATTCCTATACATATATTGCACATCAGGCCGGGTATTAAATCCTCGGCACACGACCATATTATTATCGTTATTTTTATAATTATTCACTGGTTTTTTTGTGTTGCAGAGAGGGTTTGGAGAAAATGGAACGTGAAAAGCAACGTCAGCTGGAGCGACAACAACCCCCAACGTCGGAAACCGATTCACCAGCATTCAATGTTAAGCAAGTATCAAGCAAAACACTAACAACATCTGTTAATATCTTGAACATGTCGAACGTGGTAAGTAGAGCAGTGTGTCTCTGGCTGCATTTGACTCAATTTTAACTTGTGCAAGTGCCAAGTGCAACATGAAATTAAATTGGTTGCCCAAATGCACACAAGCAATGTACACCAGACCAAAGGGTCTACGTAGTTAACAGAACGCCTTGCAATTAACATGAACTTGAAATTCAGGCAAGCGACAGCGAAGATTCAATTGCCGCTCCTGAGGAGGCAGCTCATGCGCCAAACCTGGCTCAGCTAATAGGTAATGATGTATTGAGTAAAGGCAGTAACAGCGATGAGGAGCAGGATGACGACGAGGAGGAGGAAAGGCAGCGACAGCAGAACAATCGACAGAATGTTGGAATTGTTGCAAGGGCAGCCAATGCTGAAGCTGCATTAAGTGGTAAAAACTACGAAGAAAGACTGGCGGATTTGGTAGGCATCACTATTTTGACACAAGGTGTGCTCATCCAGGGAATGAAACCTTAAACCGGTCCGTGCTCCTGTTGCTGGCAATATAAGCACTGTGATCCAAATTCGAAATACGCTCAATTGAAGTTGATACCCAATATTAAATAAATAAAACATTTAGTAGTAAAAATTAGGCTACAGTGAACGCTCAATGTGGTGGAACAACCAAACTATAAATGTTTTGATGTTCTACTCTCTAATTCTAATTTTTAGACCATCTGAATATGGACATTTTTTTTTAATTATAATTTTCAAAATTGAATGCTCGTTGAAAAGTTTTCTATTTCGAACGCTATCTTATAACAGAAATAGGGAACAATTTATAAATGTAGTCTCATACCATCACATGGTATTATCTATCTTACAGAATAGCTTTGAAAAAAAGTATTGTAAGATAGCATAAAAGAAACTACTAAGTTTTTACTATTTTATTATGGTTGTAAACTCATTTGGAATACTACAACTGCCCTTTTGGCACAAACACAAACACAAAATTAAAATATAAAATACGTATTAAATTTACAGTCAGTTACTTGACGTAAATGAACGGTTGATGGTTAACGGTTTCATTGTCTGGCGCCACTTTGTACCGACAGGCATTTGAAATATCGCAACCAATATATCAAAAACCAATCTATAGATGCTTGTTGTGCGTCGCACACTAACCGAAATACTGCTGGAAACCACCAATGAAGAGATTGCAGCTATTGCTACCGAAACACTCAAAGCGCATCGCGCTAAAGGTACATTATATAAACTTTAGAACATTAAGCTTATCGCAAACGATTTTTTACAGTGACAAAATGTGTGTGAAGCTGTGTGTATGGGTGTATGTGTGTAAGTACAAGTGTGTGTGCGATTGTCATGCCTGTGTGGCAAAAGCTCAAGTAAGTTGAGCCATAATTTTAAAATAAGCCCGCGCTGAAATGTTTGGAATTGTTCACCTCATCCTGGGAGGAAGTCGTCCTTATTTTGGCGTGCCTAAGCAATCGTTTTTAGTTTGAAAATTAATTTTATTTTATGTCACTGCTTAATACTTGAAACAAACAATCCAATCATATGCTGAATTTCTCTATATAATCGTAATATATATATATTTATATATATATATGACTATGTGTATGTAAATCAAAAGCGTCATCAGCCCAAGTGATTCGCAAAAGCGCCTTGTCCTCCATTACCGGCAATTTGGGTAAGTAACAAATTCCAATATATCTCTAAGTTCTTGAACACTATTGTTAAATAGGTAGTCTGAATTTTGCTTATCCCACAACCCTAATAGTATTATTCCCGTACTTCATACATAATGAACGGGTTTGGCTAACTATCCATTTGTGTTATCTATCACAAATTCTGCTTGATCTGTCCAATTTAATGTAGTCTGACCACTTTCAAATTTTCAAAATATTCAACTAAATATTTTTCGAGCAGAACAAACCGTTTTTGCACTCCAACTTGCTCTGTCTGCCAAAACTCTAATATAAAAAAAAAAATAAATGTACAAGTCCCAAATAATATGATACCAAAACCGCGCTTTTTCAATGAATGCCTGGCAGCAACAATTAGCACTTGATTGATTTGAATTATAGGATTAGCTGTCTATGGCGATTCTTCGAGTGAAAGCGATGAAGACAATGCTGATGATAACGATGGCGACCAAATCGATCGCAATTTAGATTCATCCGCGGATAAAAGTAGTGAGCTTAGCGCAGACGAGCTAAAGGTACAGTGCCTTGGTTATTTTCCAAACATATATTCATACCATATTGTTATCTGAACCACATTTAATTTATAGGCACGCATACGAAAAAGTAAACGTGCTTTTGCGAGAGTCATCGATGACATCGAGGAGCGTGTGTCGCTGCAGGAGCAATTGGATGAGCAAAAACTGCAGCAACACCGCAAGCAGGAATTGGAGCGTTCTGAGGCTGCCAGGCATTGCGCTCTCACCGAGCAACGGCATACGGACCCGCCTGCGGAAGAAACAGCAACGACGGCTTCTGCCAATGACAAGCTGCAAAAATTCAATGGTATGTGCAAATGATGTGCCTGTGGGCAAAGCATTTAAAATAGTTTGTCAAAAATGTTATAGGAAAACGGCTCAGTCGCAAGGAGCGGACAACACGCTTCAGCGACAACAAGGACGGCAAACAGCCCCAGAGCTATGTGAGCCAAGTGGTTGCAGTTGCGGCGGCGCAAAACAGTATAATGCCTCAGAAACTAAAGCCAGTACCTAATCCGGCCACCAATTTATTGCAAATGCCTGAATCAATGGCAAGTATACTAAGTGCTGCTGACAAGGCGCTCGACAAAGCAAACAAAACATCTAAAAAGTCCAAAAGCAGACGTCGCCAGTCGTCCTCATCCTCTTCCTCTAGCAGCAGCGGCGACAGCAGCAGTAGTAGCTCTAGTAGCGACAGCAATACCAGCTCCAACAGTTCAAAGACCTCCAGCAACAGCGAAGGGAGCAGTACTCGGAGCAGCGCCGCTGTCAAAAAACATAGGCATAGCAGCCACCGTCAGAGCAGAGCTCACAGCGGTCACAGGCAGCGAAGCGACTCAAGCCGTAAAGCGCATCACAAGGGTCAAGGCAGCAGTAGTATGCACAATTATGACCGTCATCACAGTAGTCGAGAGGGTCGTGATCGCGATCGGAATCGTGACCGTCATGCTGTTTCCTATAGCAGACAGCATCATGAACGACGGCGACGCCATCAGCGGGATTCCAGCCAGTCAGCAGAGGAAAAAAGCAGCCGCAGCTATCGTCGAAACTCGCGACACAGCAGTAGTCGTAGCCACCAGAGTAGCAGCTATGGTAAACATAGAGAGAGGACTCGATCACGCTCCAATTCGCGCAGCACACACAACTCCCATTCGTCTGTTTCAGCTTCACATCAGCAGCGCAAGCGCAAGTAATTTATGCTAAGGGGTTTTTCTGTTTTTGATGATACTCTTTAATGCAGCTTAGAACATATATAAAAACTATATTAAAAGTTAGTTACCTCAAATTTCTTATCTGGGCTGAGGTGGTAAGTATACGAGTTAAATTCATTGCAGATTATCTCAAGATGTCTGCAAGAGCGAAAGGTTTCCAAAGCAATTACCCGACACTTGACCAGCATTATTGATATAATTAAAAAATCAATATGTATTTCGAAAAGATTTGGTCGCTGCGTGTTGTTTCAGTTATCTTTGACTTGGCACACATGCTTATTTATTAAAAACATATCTTTTAGAACTTCATACATATGCGAACATACAATGGTAGATTTAAATTTGGTATATCGCAAATGTAGTTACAAAAAACACGTATAATTATTCGTACATCAATAGTATGGCTCGATTATACAAACAAGGGAAAAATGCAAGAAAAATGCAAAAAAAAATTATGGTTAATTTGTTGGAATGAAAACGATCTTGGGAAATTTTACATATTACAAACAACTTATAGTAAAGAAATTAAAAATGTTACAAAACTGATCCATTTAGAGATGAGGGCATGGATTACATATTAAAACTTGAAGAGGAACAAATATGCGACACAATTTCAGGCAATTGATGTCCCCTTGAAGCAACTGCTAAGCAATGAAATATGTTCGCAAGTTGATTAAACTCATATTGATAGTTAAAAATTATACAAATACAGATAATTATACATAAGCTTAGCGACGATTGTTCTGACTTTTGTTGTTCCAGCGTGACTGTTGCATTCGTTGCACACGCATCGGCTGACTTTGATGCTCGCATGCATCAGCACGGCGCAATACTTCGGCGTAAGAGAGATCGAGCCGTTTGAGCTTGTGGAATTCTTGGGACACCGTATTTGGGTGAAATTCAACGCCGTTTACTTCGATCACACGGCCTGTACGTTTGGCGCGAGATGCGCTCATATTCCGATTATAGATTACCATTGGTGAACCATTCCATTCGGTGCTGGCACGATCTGTTTGCGCCCTACGGAAAACGCGCTCCGTTGCCAACATTTCGGGAGGGACTGGCACAAAGTCTTTACGTGTACGCCGAGCGCTGTGTGGTGGACTTGGTTGTGCCAACGGTGAGGGTTGTACAAGTGGCGACTCGATGCGGCCACCATTGTTATGTAGACTACGATTTTTGCGACGGTTTCGCTTCTTGATGCCCACGCCAACTGCCAAATATTCTAGAGGTTCGCGCTTCAGTGGAGTCAGTACGCGGCCATTCTCTTCGATGGTTTTTGTGCCATCAGTTTTGCCCGCACCACTCAATTGTGCGATGGATGTGGAGCTTGTTTGGGAAAGCCTGTTTTCTTGATTTTTGCATTCGTTAATATGCTTCTTGGCCGTTTTGCGTTCCAGCTTAGTGACGCACTCGGACATGGCAAACGACTGATCTGAAAACACGGATGAGATAATACTCTGCGTATCATCGCCAAAGTCCACTGAAAACTCTTCGTTGGCTGGTATATCGACCATTGGGCCTGTTGAACTATTCGGTTGTGCGCTATCTTCATCCGACAATTTCAGTTTTTCACCATCCTCTTTGTTGTCGGCGGCTTTTTTCAACACACCAAAGATTTCTTTAAACAGCTCCCTGTACTCCGGACGGCTCTGAAAATGTGAGTCGATGGGACTCACGTCGTCATATATGCTTAGCTTACATTCTTCGCCATTGCTGATCGAGCACAAAAAGTATCCTGGTCGCTCATCCGTCTGTGTATACTTGTTGCTAGTCTCATCCGAAAATCCCGACGACGAGGTCTCGGCCTCTGAAAACTCGGTTGACGTTCGTCCCCGCACAGTCTTTCCATTTTTGTCAGCAGTAGTAGATGTTGCTTGGTTGGCCTCCATGTTGAGCATCTCTGGCTGTCCCCGATTGGATTCGCCGGCGTTGTGAATTTCCTTCGAAAGCTGGACGCTATTGTCGTTAACTGCATTGCTTTTACGCACATTTGATGTGCGCTGCACCTCCAACAGAGCTTCATATTTCTCCACCAAGTCTCGGTATGGATTCGGACTGCCAGCATTCTTTAACTCGAGGATTTCGTTTGCATTGAGCTTTGCTGAAAATTCAGCACAATTACCTGCCAATTGGGAGCTAAACTCACTGCCCAACAGACTGCGATCATCGTCTTCCGGTCCGTCTTCGGTTTGGGCTACTGACGACTGTCCGTCATTGTTTGATGCCTGTTCCTCCATGACGCGCAAGCAGCGACTGCACATTTGACCTTGCCTTACATCATCTAACAGAGAGAACTCATCCTGCATGGACATCATCTCCTCGTTTGTGCTGGTGATGGCTATTCGACTCTGAAGTGTTTGGTTCTCTTGGATGATGGCTACCAGCTGTTCCTCTAATTCGCAACAACGTTGCTTTTCCGCCATAAAGTTACGTCTTATTGACTCCAAATCAGTTATCAGACTTAACAGCTCCTCATTATCCTCGGCCTTGCCGGCAGCAGCAGCGGCTGCTTCAATAATCTCCTCTGGACTGCCCACATCACTGAAAGCCATCGATTCATTGGCCTGGGAGATTTCCGTGACACCCGTTGAGTTGGCATTTGCAGCAAATGGGCCGTTGTCTATTGGCGTCGCATTCAAATCGGCAACTTCCCGATCATTGCCAGCCCATGGTTTGGGTAAACAGGGCCGATCAGAGCTTCTCGCTGCGGTGCAGCGTTCCTGCTGCAATGGTCTTTCGTTTTTACGCCGTTCTGTGGTTAGCATTTGCCGTGTCTCCTTCAACTGCTGGTTGAGTTCATCGCAGCGTGCTTCTAGAGATTCAATATTAGCCCCTAACGATTTTATTTGTTTTTTGTCCCGAGATTTCTCCACCGTCAGCCGATGATTGCTACGCTCCAAATCCTGTATGCCCACCTCCAGCTGTTCGTAGACCTTCAAACGCGTATCATTGACTTCGGCCATGGCATTGATTTGTTTTCGCAAGTGCAAAATTTCCCGCTGTTGTTCCTCGTTTCTGGTTTTGTGCTCCTTCAACATTATTTCCAATTCCCTATTCCGCTCGAGCAGCGTTTTGCCGAGCTCAGCTGCCAGTTGCAAATCATTTAGCATGAATTGTGAAACATCCACATCCGGCTCGCAGTTGTCTGCCTCAAGCTTGCTTCCGTCCATTTTGCCGACTTTTACCTATGTAGTTTTCTGTTGTGGTTATAATTCGGGTATTAATTGGTCTTGAAGACACAAACACATGTTTATTGATTTTTGCCTTACATTTAGTTGTTGATATACTTTGTGAGCATATTATGCAAACAATTAACACACTGGGTCGTTTTTTAAGCTATCCGATTCAATTTGTGTATGCTTTCTTCTTTATGCAAATACTCTGCGTATTACGTCACCGATTTTATAAATGCCAATTGCATAAGTTAACGACGACAAAAGTATTGGTCTTATGCTCTTTTTATGCTTCAACGCAAGTGCAAGTGCATTGCAACCCTAAAGTTAAAATAGCAAACCTACCCCTTGTAGCTGTAAAAGCCAGTGACGTAGACAGGGACGTTTTTTGAGTGCAAAATGAAGCATGTGTGGCATACTTAAATAAGGCTTTAATCATATGTATATAAGCATATCGATCATATTTTCTATATATATATTTTGTAATTTCTAGCTTATTTTTAAAAACCCGCTTAAATTTCAAATATAAAAGCTATTCGATTGTATGTGTTTTGTTGAACCAATTGGAAATAATTAAAAGCCCGGGTTACTGAAATATATAAATACTATTTACATTAAAAAATTATATGTTTCTATATCGAGCAAAAAAAATAATTTTATTTGCATGTCAAACAAAATGAAGCCTTACTTAGCTCAAGCTGGCATTTTGTGAGCCGCTCTTTCTTTTAAGCCCCCTTCAAAAAAGATTGCTACGCATCTGACAAAAATTACAGCTGTTCTCAACTGGTTCAAAGTTGCGAAAAAAAAAAACCAAGAAACTAAAGCTCAAATGAAAATATTTATTGTTTTTATATTTATTTATTAATGCTTAAAATTATAAGCATTACGTGAAATAATAATAAGCATAATTATTTTTTTATAATTTACGTATATTTATAATGTGTATGTACATATTTAGCTGTTTTATCATTATTCAAGCTTATGTATATGTACTATATGCAAAAAGTCTATTATGAGTATCTAGGAAAATTGAATTGTTTGTGTATTACTGACAAGACTTAAGTATAAATTAAAAACTGTTTAAGTGCTGCGCTTTTAAAAGCTAATCTTCGTTCTGCACAGTTTTGAGCTGCTGCGCCTGCTGCTGCTGCTTGTATCTTTGCTCGTAGGGATCACCGTAGTCCACTTTGCCCATCTCATAGTGGGCCATTTTATTGCGATGAATTGTGAGTAGGGCTCCGCTCTTGAAGTTATCACCACACACGCCGCAGTTGTATGGCCGTAGGATGGCTGTGTGCGTGTCGCTTTCTCGCTGCAGTCGCATTCGTTCAATGTCCTCGGCACGACGCTTATTCACGCGACTATTTTCATAGGGATCAGGATCGAAGCTATCAGCTCCTTCCTGTACAGTCTCATAGTGCCGCTTCTGATTGCGATGAATGTTTAAAAGAGAGCCGCAAACAAAGCTTTTGCCGCAAACGCCGCACGCATAAGGTCGTTCGCCCGTGTGCCGGCGCATATGAATCTTCAGATCGTTAGATTGCACAAAACTCTTGTCGCACTTATCGCAAGCGTAGGGTCGATGTCCAGTATGCAGACGCATGTGTCGCGCCAACTTGTTTTGCGAAATGAACTTCTTGGCGCATATTTTGCATTCGCTCGGTCGCTCTCCAGTGTGCTGACGCTTGTGCAGACTAAGATCTTGACTGCGTGGAAATGCCCTGTCGCACTGATCGCACTTATATGGATTTTCGCCAGTGTGACGACGTATATGTATGGTCAGGCTGGAGACAGGAAAGCTTATGCCACAATGGGGGCATTCGCGCCGCTTGGCTGCGCGTTTTGGTGGTACGCTCATTATGGCATCCTCTGAATAACCGCTAGTGGCGACTACCTCAGGGTGAAATGCAATCATGTGTCTACGCAGTGTATCCTGACGCTTGAATATGCGCGGACAATGTTCGCAGATCAGTGCGCCACTGCTGCTGTGCTCCTTAGCCAGCTCCTGTGCCGCTACATCGGCCGCTTGGCTGTGAGCTGTTGCAAAGTGGCGTGACAGCGATTTGTTTTTGGCAAAAATGCGTGGACAGCTGGCGCATTTGTACATAAAGTTTTGTGAATGTGCCAGGCGCATTCCTAGCTGCGAGGGACGATCCTCTGATTGATCGGCATCGTAAATTATGTCCGCATCAGACTCAGTTACCAAATCGCTGGGGTCGTTGTCGCTATTGGGCAACTCTTCAGAGGGCGGTTCCACAAAAGACAGTTCCTCATATGCAGGTTCCTCATAGGCTGGTTCCTCAAACGTTGTTTCCGCATAAGTTGCCTCCTCATACGGCGCTTCCTCGTAGGTCGGGGCTTCAGGCGGCAGCTCCACCTCTTGCAGCTCAATGACGGATTCGCATTCTTCCAATTGTAGCAGGTCCACTTCCTGGTGCGGTAATTCTTCGTACTCATCCACATCCACATGATCCTCAGCCGATTGATCCTGCTCCTTACTACTGCATAACTCCTGCAACGTTTGATTGGACCTTTCTACTTCTCGTATAAACTCGTAGGCGCTGATCAGGCGACGCGTGCAGCTCTGACACAGCTGTGTGGGTAGATTGGGTTCATTCCAAGTGCACTGCAAATAATTTTTCGTTCACGTTACAAAGTTCATAGCTTGTAGTATGATTTATAATATTACCTTCAAATTGGATACATTTTCTAGCAGCTGCCACAGCTCAACATTCAGATCATTAAACGCAATTTCATCGTGAAGGCTCAATGTTGTTTCGTGAGATTCCAAGCAAACGCGACAGGTTTGCTCGTTAACATTAATATGGACTTTACCTGGTATTGGAATCTCATTTTTGTTACTGTCCATTTTATCATAGCTCGGAGTAGGCGTTCTTTATATTCGTATTATTATTGTTTTAGCAGCTTCCCGTACACCTGTGGGCACCCAATTAATGTAACTCTTTACAGAACTGTTAACTGTTAACAGTGCTTAAGGTAACAGTTCCGTTTCGTTCCTAAGATAAAAGTAGTCTTTTCTTGAAAACTTGAATATTTAAAAAAGCAAAAATTAACAGTGCCAAATGAGTAAAACTCTTCTACACTATCGGTAAGCTCGTGTTGAAGATAATAGTCGTCAAATATCGATCACACATTCAAATTAGTAATCGAATTTACCTAGAAGAAAACGATGGATTTGAATTTCCGTTTCTTTTCACGTAATAATATTTAAGTATTCCTCTAACTCCATCCTGGAGTCTTCATTTTGATTACGTCACAAGTATATAACACAGTATTCTTACATTTGTCATAATTACATTTGTCGTAATTACAGTGTCGAACTGCGGATATGCCTGTCTCTCCTCAATACTTAGTATTTTCGCATTGTCGAAATCTTTGTATTCATACCCTGTCCCCATTGAAAATATTTCGACCAATGGGCAGTATACTGGCATGTATCTGGAAACTAGCATGTATTTTGTCAAATTAATATCCGACAATGCACCTGATAAATTTTTTATAGCTCTTTCCGATAATTAAATTTAGACCAATTCCATTAACAATTTGCTTTTTATTTTAAATCAATCAATTGCATACATGTGTGGGAATCACTTGCCATATTAGTCAAACTGGTGGCAGCGCCAACGAGAAGTTTAATATAAATCTCTCACAGTGTGGGCGCGACCAATTGAAAATTGCTGTTCTTAGCAATTGGCATTAATTTAAAAAACTACATACAAAGCTTTAACTTGCAAATGCAACAGCTCTGATACCTTTGTACAATTAACTATTAAGATGCAATGCTATATTACGATACAATTATCAGTAGGTAAAACTTAATTGTATGTCTAATCCCAGCAAGACTCAATGTTTTTGTACAATAGTAAATGCATGTTTACACACATGCAGTGCAATGTATATACATACTAAAGGGTCCAATGACCAGAAAAAACGTTTCGCGTTTTACACTTATTCATAGTCCATTTTTAAAACTAAACAAATTTTGAATGCTAGTCAACAGATAGATCCAGCAGTTCCAACTCACAGTTTATTGGCAGTGAGTGTTAGCGGTGGTTTAGCGGCTCCCGAAGTTCCTGTTATGGATTTGTGGTCGGCACGCTCCTGCTCTGATAACCAGGCCATCTGCGCGAAATTAAATAAATTATTTTCGGACTCATTTTTGGCTATCGTTGGCACTTACCTTTTGTTTGTGCTGCTGAACAGCATCAGTGCATCTATCCAGCACCATTTTTTCTGTAAGCAAACCGTCCTCCGAGGCGTACACAGCAGCTTGCCAGGCGACGCCCAGCTTGGATATTTCACGACCCGACATACCCTCGCATAACGCCGCCATTTTAACGCACGTCTTTCCGTAGTCAAATGTGTCCAGTTTAAAACGTCTGAAAGCAATCTTTGAGCAACTGAGCTGCTTTGGCAGAATTAAGCTTGCACTTACTTGGCGCCTGCTGCAGCTGGCTGTAGTACATATTTGTCGAAGTAGAGGCGGAGTAGACGCTCTCGCTCCTCAAGACCGGGCAATGTAAATTCAACCATCTCGTCGAGACGGTCGTTGATTGCATAATCGAATTGTTCCGGCGTATTTGATGCAAGCACAAGCATAAACTTGGGATTCTGTTCGGAAGTTCTATACAAAAATGCATTCAGCGCTGCACGCAAATCCTCCGAAATCTTTTCCGACGAACGTTTGCGCAGAAAAGCATCCGCTTCGTCAACAAAGAGCAAAAGGCCACGCCTTGAGGTCTGCGACCAGTCGAATACCTTGTGTATGGCTGTGACACCCTCCTTACCCATGGGCGCCACATCACCTCCGGTCATAATAGCGAAATCCATGCCAGAATGCTCGGCTAGCTTTTTGGCAAACATCGTCTTGCCCGTACCAGGCGGCCCATGCATCAGAACGTTACGATAGAGGCCACGATTGATGCGCGTGTTTTTTGTGGCAATCGCAATGTCGCGCAATCGTTCTTCCAGTTTGGGATTCAATACAACGCCCTGTAGGGCATCAGCGGGCTTGGCGCGCAAGCGCTTAATATAGTTAAGTGGATGCTTAAGTGCGTCGAGGAACGCAAAACGCGAAGTTTCACCCACAAGCGTTGGTTTGCCAATGCGTGCCTCAACGTAGCGCGAAACAACGCCAGTTGCGCCCTTTGCACTGTACACACCCAATGCTAGCAGCGACAATCCACCGGCAGCAGTCAGTACCTTATCCCAGTCGGTCAACATGGCCTCGGCGCCGGCACCAATCACTGAGCCAGCAGTGCTAACAAGTAATAAATGCGATTTATGACACTTCAACATGCCTCTCATAAGCAAGAAGAGAGCTTACCGTATACCCTCCAGTACTGTTGTACGATGCTCTTGTGCTTTCAGACGAATCTTCTCCAGATTGATATCGCGATTCTCGCGATCCACACGTGCCTTGGCACGCAGCTCATGCTCCAGCAGCTTGAGACGATTCTTCTCCTTCATTTCAATCTCATGCTCAATAGTTTGACGCCGCATTGCCTCCTGGCGCTGCACGCTCTCCTCCTGTTTGCGCAGATTCTCCTCCTGGACGCGCTGTTGCTGCACCAGTTGATCTTCGTATCGCTTGCGCGATAATTGATCTTGATATTGTGCACGCTGCTGCTGTTGTTTGGTCTCCTCAATAAGCGTCTTGCGTCGCTCCTCGTGATCGATACGCTTCTGTTCCACCTTGGCCTGCTCTATGTGCGCCTCATATTCTTTCACTTTGGTGTTATATTCTTGCTGTCGTGTACTCTCCTGCATCTTGGACAACTCCAATGCTTCCCGCGCATGTTCTGTACCAAGTAACACACATATAAATATATATATATATATATATATGTACACACACGCACACACGCTGCATCAATCAGCATTGTGACATCGGTTATGCAATGCGCGCAAACGTTGATGAAATTTACGCATTCTGATTGAACACTTACTTGAACGTTCCAATGTTTTGGCAGCGTCCGCGGCACGCTCCAGCGCTGAGGAATCAAACCGATACGCCTCCATGGCCTTGCGCTCGGCCCTTGTAAGCTGCGTGTCGCCACCACGCTCGCCGGCAGTTTTGCCCTCTGGATTATCAGCTCCATCTGCTCCACCGGCAAGCTCCGTTGGCTGCTGACGATTTCTACCCAATAACCACGACATGTTGCTATGTTATTCGTGTTGACAATGTTGACACCCACTCAAAACGTAATTTTGTCACAATAAAAGCACGAAATATCCTAAAAATAAATTGTAGGAGCGTTTTTCTTTTCAAACCCACATTCGACAACGTGATTCTAGTAGTGATGTAAGAAACACAGATATATATTACTTATCATATATTTTGCGATGAATCGATAGAATTTGATCAGTTGTTAAGTAGGGTGGACAGATTTGTGACTTCATAACTCTAACAATTATTAACAATGAAATAAATTCCACAGTGGAGGCAGCAGGATTAGACCGATAAGTTTATATTTTGTTTATGACTTTTATTGTTATGTTGTCATGTTGAGTTCAGTAGATTATTTTTTTTATATCGTGATGCGTTATAAAAATAATCGACATACAGTTCTCACAGTAACTGTTAGCTATTAATGCGATAATGTAGTCGCTCTTTGCGGTCACGGTGGGGAAAATGTGGCCCATCTCTAATGCAACACCTGTTGTCAACAAACAGTTTTCGAGTTTTTCCTTTAATTTGTACAGTGCAGAATTTTAAAATCTGGCGTAAAATGTTTGAACGTAACCAAAAAACGATATTTGTGTTGGACCACACTCGCTATTTCAGCATTTCCAGCGAGCAATATATATCAATGGACTACCTGAAGGGGAAACCGGTGCAGGAGACACCGGCTTCCGGTAGCAGCTCCATGGTCGTCGGCACACAGCTGAGCAAAAGTTTGTGGACCTGTGCCGTTGAGTCTTCCATTGAATATTGTCGCATTGTTTGGGATCTGTTTCCGGGGAAAAAGCATGTGCGATTTATTGTCTCCGATACGGCGGCACACATAGTCAACACCTGGAGCCCCAGCACTCAAAATATGTCGCATGTTTCAAATGCCATGATGATGGTTAGCGTACCATCACGCAGTATTCCGCAATCATCAGACTACTCGGTCATACATGGACTGCGTGCTGCTATCGAGGCCCTGGCAGAGCCAACGGATGAGCAGCTGTTAGCGACCCAAGTCGGTTGCAAACAAATCCCCAACAAGGGGCGTGTCATCTGCATCACATCGGCGCGGGATAATACAAGCATGAAAAGTAAGACTTTGGAGCAATTGGAAAAGTGCCAAGGCATGTTTTTAACTTTTTAACATTCCTTAGGCTTAGAAGACATCTTTAATACGGTATTGCTACAGCAAAATGCATTGGTTGCACCGCCTAGCAAAAAAGGGCTGCAGATAGATCATTGCCATCTGGTCATATTAAATATTGTGCCCTTAGGAGTGGAATCCTTGGTGACCAATCGGAATCTACTCGAAATCTCGCCACTTCTGGACGTCGAAATACACACAGTGAACGCACCAGACATTTCGGATAAACTCTTGCATCTTATTATGGGCCATTACGATCTGGCCAGCACCACGGTGACCAACATACCCATGAAAGAGGAACAGAATGCCAATTCAAGCGCTAATTATGATGTAGAAATATTGCATGAACGCGCTGCGCATACAAGAGTCTGCGGACCGGATTTTACTTTAACCACAAGTATAAAGCCAGGGACTACTTACGAAACAGTAACACTTAAATGGTGCACGCCGCGTGGCTGTGGCTCTTCTGATCTGCAGCCGTGTGTCGGACAGTATAATGTTACACCTGTGGACGTCACCTCCCGTCCTAGTTCTTGCCTGATCAACTTTCTATTGAATGGACGCTCTGTGCTGCTGGAGGTGCCTCGCAAAACGGGCACTAAGACAACTAGCCACATGCTGTCGGCTCGAGGCGGCGAAATCTTTGTACACTCCCTATCCATAGCACGCTCTGCCATGGACGAAGCGCCGTCAATTAGTGATGGACCTGGTGGACGTGTCTCCGACTATCGCATACCCGAATTAGGCCAGTTGTTTAAGATGTCGCGAATGGTGCCTCTGAAGACGAAGCCCAAGGGTAAATGTTCACAGGGTGAACATCTTTGGAGGCGACTACCGCGCTACTTTCCTAGAACCACGAATGTAACAATTCTGTTCAATTTGCAACGCCAATTGAACTGGCTGCCACACTTTTTGCATTTGATAGTCAAGGAGGATATGGACAAGCAGGACGAAGTGCGTTGCCAGCAGCAAATCCACGAGCTATACAAGAGCGCCTCTCGAGGCGACATGCTACCCTTTAATACTACAAATAACGCGCGGTAAGTAGATAGCATCCAACTTATTGTAGCCACACTTGACTTTGGAAATTGTAGTTAAAAATGTTACGATAGAAATTATGACTATAAGGAAAGAGATATGATTATGATTCAATATGTGTGCCGAAAAGATTTTAAAAATTAAATTTTGACTTGGTCGGTCCGGCGATGGTCATGTGGGCATTACAAATTGAATGATGTATACACACTGAGGTAATTTCTTGACTAAATGATCTTTGTTAGTGCTAGTCTATATGATGGATTTATATTAGCAAACTTCGTCACGTCATTTCATCTTCTTTAAAGCCGTCAATCCGGCAAATTGGCTATTAATAAATTTGCTTAGTTTTAAAGTCGTCTGTGTAAAACCGCTAAAACTGTTTTATGAAAACACAAAAGATAGTTAGAATAGTTAGAAAGAATCAGGATGACAAATTCGCCTTGTTGATTTACAAGCAGATTACTCACTATTATATTCAAATACATATAAAATATATTATAATCCTTTAACAAACTTAATTTAACTGCAGCCCAAAGGTAGGCAAGACAAAGGATCAGTACAGACTATTCTACAGGGAACTGGAGCAACTAATTCAACTAAATGCCCAAACACCACATCACAAGAATCTGCTAGAGAGTCTGCAAAGCCTGCGAGCGGCCTATGGTGATGTTAGCAGCAAATTGGACCCGGGTGCTTCCCATTTGCGTTCCTATACAGAATCGCCCCTGTCACCCGAACGCTTGGAGCCCACAAGCAGCGCCAGCAACAGTTCCAGCAGCATTTTAAAGGCTAGCAAGCGACGCATGTCTAGCTCTGGTCAGCGGTAGGTGGTCAAAGATTAACTCTGGTGTTACATTTACAAATGAAAACTCCAAATAACTCGTTTGCAGTTCGTTGCTGGACATGATTAGCATAGCAGAACGCAGCCAATCAAACAAGCGCTTGGATTTCTCTGGACGCCTTTGCACGCCCCTGGGTCAAACAGCGAAATTGTATCCCGATTTTGGAAACAAAGAGAAGGATATTCTTACCCCTGGCGTAGTCACCTCAAATTTAAAAGATGAGTCCATACGCAGTTAGCAATACGTTAGTTGAGTAGATTATTCAACTTAAAGCATGAACATTCAAAGTCTACATGTTGTTGTTCACGCTAAAACCTGAAATCCTTCTATTATTAAAATTGACTTCTGGCTTGTAAACTTTTGGTAAATAAGAAATAGTTAAAGAATAAGTCATATACTTTTTTTGTTAGAATATAAGATTCTTAGGTTATCTCTATTCCCATTGAAAAATGTATGTTCTCCATTCAAAGCACTCTTTTTATTTTATGTACTCATATTTAGTTAGTTAGAAATTAACACAAAATAGTTTAAAAAAAAAAACAGAATATAATACAAATTTTCTGTCTCTTTGTATTTAACACAAAATTTGTAAACCAAAGAATGGAGAATAATTCTACAGTCACGAAACTGCTGCAAGTGTCCGAGGAGGCAGCGCCCGTGGTGCAAAGTGAGCTTTGCATTTTTTATCTAATCTTTCGGAAAACTGAATTTCTGAATTCTTCCATATTTAGTTCCCATTTTCGTGGGCAATGAGATGTTCATTCTTACCCAACAAGACATAAGGCGTATCGAGGATATACGTCATTTAAGTTACAATCGATTGGGCTCCCATGCTCAGATCTCTCCCATTCTCAATCAATGGAACGCTCAACCCTTTGGCAATCATTTTAACAGTAGTACCGCGCCAGCAACGCAGCTTTCTGCACTACAAGGTTTAGTGCCTACCCAGATTCCTTTCCCCGGCGTTGACATAGATATGGAGAAGACGCCACCGCGAGTTGTCGCGAATGTATCAAAGCAACTGTCTTGGTCCAAGCAGTCCAAATCCTCTTCACCATACCCTATGTGTTACAGCATCGGAACATCAACCAGTGCACTTCCGAAGCAAAACTCTGATGATAACCCGCATCGATCTCCAGATAGAAAGAATTGTAGTTGTCAGACATGCACAAATACTACATCACAGGCCTGCAACACGGAGCCAAGATCACATTCAGCAACAATCGCTAGTAACACGGAGACAAGACCATATACCACTTCACGGGCATCCCAGACGGGCCCAACAAAGAAACGAAGAGAAAGTTTTAAAAAACATCGAGCAAATGATAGCTCGTGCTCCGACGCTTGCAGCCCTACGCAGGAGGAGCTATGCACCTGTGGGCGTTCTCTACCAAAACCACGATCACGCCGCGTCAGACTTGCATCACCTGAACGTTTACGCCACCATCGTAGCAAATCCACATGTTCGATGCCGCAGGTTACTGTGCCTAATGAGCTTTACGAAGAGCTGCAGGCGCAAAAAAGGCAATTGGAGAAAGAGCGGCAGCAATAACGTTTTGATCCGAAGCTGCAGTCCTCGGAAACCAGCGTCGACCATTCAAGACAGCAATGATAAATCAAAACTTTTATTTACATTTTAATCTCTACTATGTTTTTTATGTCCCCCCCAAGTCTCACGAGTCCAGTAATTACATACTAACATAAGGCGTTCATTGATTTACTTTTCATTAGACGTTTCTTTGCATTAGTCGGAATCGTCGACGCCTTTTTCTTTTTCTTTTGCGGCTTGTCAGGTTCTGATTCGCCCTGGCCATTGAAATAGCGCTTGGGTTTATTGTGCTCGCGCTGCTCACGCTTCAGTTCCTGGGGCGTGCAAACGCGCAAATAAAAGTCTTTGAGCAGGAGCTTGAAATCCTCGACTAATGTATCCCTGTCAACCTGGACCTTACCACCAACACAGGGCGTGCACGCCTGCAGCTCGTTCACTTTGAAAGGTTTGGGTGCAAATTCAGAGGCGGGCCTCCACACAATGGCCAATTCTTTGCCTCCATGGGGATTGTAAAAGAATGCAGCATATTCGGAGTAGGCATCCTGTGGAATCAGGATTCAGTTGATTAATCCAGCTAATAAGCATGAGCTAAAAAAAGTTTCTCACCCTCAGTTGCTGCACGACCTTGGCGAGCTGATCGCAGCCCGCTAGCGGCAAACGAAAATTGCGTTGACTGAAAGGCAGAAATGGTGAACCAAGATCGTAGCAGAGCGTATTGGACAGCAGATCCGGTTTGAGCTGTATGACCAAATCATAACCATCGCCGGATGCCATAAACAGTTGTGCGGGTCGTACAAATGCTAGCTTAGGAGACAACAGGCTCGACTCTATAAGTTGCAGCGCATGTCTGGCCAACAGAGTGACACGGCCCAGAACTGGCTTGCTGGGGCTGTTATTGCTAGTCCACAAGCGACCCGCATGCTGCTGATCGTAGGCGGTAGCCAAACACAACGATGGATAGCTGTCACGTTCGCTGCGATAGCTGTGCTCCAAATCTGTTATTTGTTGCTCTGCAAAAATGCGAATAAGATAAGATATGGATTTAAGCACAGGTTTTTGGGACTGACCTGTCCAGCTGTTGTTGAAATTAAGCAGAAACAGTTCGCCGCTCCAGTCGCTGTGGGCGAGCAGTTGAAGGAAGCGTATGAAACCAGTTTGTGGGGAGACAGTAGTGTGTGGCGTCTGTCGCTGCTGGAACAGATGCGCCACAAGCAGCTCCGTCGCTATGGACGGCCACAGACCATCGTCCAGCAGCTGTGCAGCCAGCCAGCGCTTTGCAATGAGCACTGTGGGCCCAAACGCGCCATGCATTTGATGCAACGCATGCAGTGCACCACTGACTCTGGGCAGTATATAGTGACGTCGCTCCAGTTCGCGACTAGCTGGATTGTCCACATAGGTGGTCACACCACGTTCCGTTTGCTGTTGCTTTAACAGCGCAAGCTCTTTACTATGTGCAAGCTCTAAGAGAAAGCAGTAGCCTTGTTTAAGTACTAGCAAACCATCTTTGCAGAGATGCCAGTGAAGATGATGCTGCTCCTTGAGCTGCTGCCCAATTTGTATTAGGAAGGCGGTTTTTAGGCTCCTCAGTGCGCCCAGATCACTGGGCCACTTGCCACTCGGTCCCAGCTGAATGATCACGCGCAGCACTTGACCGGCATGGATGCGATCTGACACCAGACGTGCCTGTGGCAGCAATGGCTGTGGTTCACAATAGCGAAAAACGGGTGAAATCCCAGATATTGACACAATGTCGAGCGGTAGATCCCCAAGACTGTGCAGTTGGCGTGCTAGCGCATCGTAGCAGTGGATGACGTTGGGTGTGAGTGCCTCGGCGTCAGTTTCCTGCTGAATTTTCAGTTTGGTTTGCAGCTTGGCCACCTTAAAGGAAGGCGTTAAGGAGTATACAACATCAAGGTTGCCAGCAATGTACTGCACTTCACTGGGTTCCAACTGAAGCTGATGCTCTAGCAAATACAAGACTATCTGGCGCACTATCAAGCGCTTTTGGCTGGGCGCGTCTGTTGCAGTGGCCCAGACAACAGCCTCCGTTATGCTGCCATCCTGAAAGCGACGCAAATTGGATTTATTGCCCCAGAATTTGCGAAATTCCGCGGCACCATTCGCATCTTCATTAGTTGCTGGTCCCTTATCCAACACTTCGTGTGCATGCTCTGGATCGAGTATGAGGCCTAGCGTCAGGGAGCGTCCAATTACTGGCGCCTTGGTGTCCACGGTCCAGGGACTACACGGTACTTCAAGTGGGAGAATGGCGTGCACGCGTTGTCCCAGACCCTTCTGTAGTAAGCTATTCAGTAATAAGTCTAAGCATTAATTCTCATTTTAAACAGGTGCTAAAAACAACTTACTCTGTTAGCAATTTAAGCAGCTGCGGGTGGGCATAGTTGGCATAGTCGTATTTGACATGCGGTTGAACATGTAATTGAAGTAGCTGATCCACGCTGGCCGGATTTGTGATTCTGTGCGAAAAGTAGAAGTGGATATTGAACATTTTCTGACAATATTATTTCTTACATAAAAGAGTGCATTTCTTTTTAAATTTTTAGTTTTCATAAATAAATTCCGCTTCTACTCTCGTTTTTGTAGCAGATCTCGTAGTTTTCGGATACATTTTTTAGGAGCACATAAAAATATGCAATTAGTAAACATGATTTTCATTTAATACACCCATAATTGGGGAAATATTGTGCCAAAAGCCTGATTTCCCTGTGGATGGGTGTATAAAAATGGGGAGAGAGTTTTTTTTTATACTACAAATCACCCAACTTGTTTTATTGGGACCTCAGTCGTTATTGGATATTTTGTAGGAATTCATAGGCATATACTAAATACAAATATATAGAAACACAGCTCAGGGAAGATCAGTGAAGACCATTTATACAATAAAAGATTTTAGTTTGATAAATATTTAGCAATTGCTGCGCCACTCACTTGAGTATGTTATCCATGCGGGTGTAGAGCGGTGATGTTTGCATGAAAATGTGCGAAAAACTGTTGACTTTTACGTCATTAAGCAATTCGACGGCCAACTTTGCCTCCGCACAAACGGCTTTATAGACCGCTAGGGGCAGATTCGCGCACAGATTGTAATAGCCGGTGACATCCATGAAGCATACATCATAGTAGCCGGCCAGGGTGATCAGCTGGTGCGGTTGATGTTGTGATAGAGTTATGCCTTGTGTCCAATCACTGTTAGCTAGCTGATTCCATACGGTGCGGGCAATCTGGTAGCTGCTGCTTGACTGGTGAAGCAAACGCTGCTGTTTTAGATAAGCAATGTACGCGGCAAGAATGTGTGCACTAAAGCCGCTGAAGCCAACATCAAGCTGGCGTTGGCGCAGCCATACTTTAAGCAGCAGTAAACCCTCCTGAAAGTTACGGCGTCCAGTGAACGTGCTGAGCAACAGTTTTTGATTCTCAGCTAGCGTCAGATCGAACAGCACATTGGCATTGTAGTGCTGAGTAGCGGGCAACGTTTCTGCTTCATTCCACTTATCTCCGAAGACCGAGGGCCGAATGTTGTTAGTCCATGGTAAAAATCGGCTCAACTTGAAAATCTCCGACTGCGCTGTAATATACACGCGCAACAACAAATATTTACCCAACTTGGAGGCGGGTGTCAGTTCCAGCACTGGTTTTAGAGGATTATTTGCATGGTAGTTGTAGGCGAACTGATCTGCTTTAAAGGCTGGTGATTGCTTTATTTTGCTGGCCACCGTGGCCAGATAGAGGGCACGCTTTTGATCGTAAATTAAGTTGCGATAATCGTCGTGCTGGAAGCATGCAGCGGGCATTTCCAGCGCCACATCTACCACAATCTTAGGGCCCAGCAATGTGCCCGTTGCCGCAGCGCCAATTAGCTTTGGCTCCGACGTTGGCGTCAAGAACTGAAAATTAAAAGATTTTTTGTGCAAATGCAGCGGCACCTCCAATTCGCAGGTGTCCAGCAATCCGTCTTTTAGCTCCTGCACGGTAATCGTAAACGTCTCTATCCATGTTTCAATGTAATTACTGTATTTGGGCTTTAGTTGGATCTCCTCCAGCATCTCCTTCACTTGCAGCTTGAACAGATTTGAATGAAAGAGGTTGCGTGTGTCGCGAATCTCCTTGATTTCTTCCAATGTCGGTGGCTTAACGTTCGAGTCTGCGTGCTTGAACTTTTTCTTTTTCGCTTCGCCATTGGTCAGCTGCACTTTACGTTTATGCACTGGGACTCGGTTTGGTTCATCAAAACCATCATCGCTACTGGTGGCAGCAGTAGCTGCATATTCGTAGTCGGTGTGTGATTCCGACAGGGAAGGCTGTAAGTGGGATCGATTTCAAAGTTGCTGTTAATCTATATAAATATTTTAAACATACTGCTTTAGATTCTTTTTCCTTAATTCGACCCATATTATTCAGCAAGAGTAAACCAAAAATAAAAACCGATAACGTGCCAAACAATTGCACGTGCTACTTGGTTTTGGTTTTATTAGTACGGCCAAAATTGGCGCTTTTTTATTGCAATTTGCAATTTATCGAATATAAGTGCATTTTGGTATTTTGTTGAGTATCGAACGATATGCTTTTGACTGTTCTTAAAAGTAAATTTCGTATCGTAGCTTTAGAAAATTGGCGAACATTGTGACTGATACCGCTGTAGTGTTAATTGTAAAAAAATAGTTTTGCGACATTAAAGCAGTTATTATTGACTGTGTATGTATGTTATATATCCGACATCGTTTTGTGAGGTCAGAGATCGAATATATTTAGAAGCGATAGAAAACTGCTGAAACTGTCTCATCGATAGCTCCCGAACAACACGAATAATAAATTAGTAAATTTGGTCACACTGGTGAGCAGTAGTACATTGCAGACTTTTTGTACTTGTATATAGAATTTGTTTCTTTCAATAAATAATTGCTTGCTATTTTGTATACTTGTGTAGATCTGCTAAAATTAGAATATAAGTGGTAAATACCTTTTGTGACATTTGAAGCTGGTTGCGTGAGTGTATGGCGCAAACATATGCAATGTACAGATGTTACTCTAAACAAAACTCCATAAATAGCACCGTGAGAACGTATGTGAGAAGAAAATAAAATTGAAACGAGTGCTTTAGCTTGTTTATCAAGCGTTAGCAGATTATTTAAAGCGTTTTCCCATTGTAAAACAAAGTACCGGCTAATTACTTTTGTATATTGGTATATTTAGTATATATTTTACTTATGAATCTTTTGCGAGCTGGATAGTATTTCTGTAGTATTTAGCTACGGCCACATTATGACGCAGTGTTCAATTTGTGCGTGTGTGTGTGTTTGCAAGGCAGGGGAAAAAGTCGCTCCATTTTTCTCGTGCTCTCTTGCGTACGTTTGGCTTTGCAAAACATTTTAATGGCGAATCGCTTAAATATTGAAATAGTGTTTGCCTAAGTTTTTACATAAGAAGCAAACACAAAAACCAGCAAAAGCACGCCGCAAAATAATAAGTGTCTAATCGCATGCATACACCTCCCAACTGCAGAAATTGGCCAAGCGCTAGTGTATGTGTAACTGTGTCTGTGCGCGCGTGTGTGTAAGTGAGCAATGAAAAATGAGGCGTAGGTGAGGAATGTGTGTGCAAAATTGTCGAAAGGTACAACAAAAAAAAAAAAAAACCAAATTAAAAACCAAAACTAACAGTAAGTTACAGTTCAAGTTTTATTTAAAAAATCAGAGGCCACATTAATTAAATGACGCGTTGGCAGTGTAAAGAAATATGGCAAAATTCAAACAGTTAGCAGTTGCGCACCCTGTAGTCTTGCGGTCGCTGAAAAGAAGCTTTTGCGTGCCGAAAGCATTAAAAGAGCAATAAAATAAAAAATCACGTTCAACACAGTTTTTAGTTTGTGTGACCATCTTGTTTATAAAAAAAAAAGCACATGAACCTTTTTTGCTCTGTCCCTCAATATTTTTATGCACGGGCATGAAGTATACGCACTAATTGGCCTAATTTTGAGAGCCTTCCTTAACATTACGACAGCAAAGTCGGCGGCTGCTGCTGTATCGTGTGGCTACCACATGGTGAATCTTTGTCAAAGTCTCATAGACATAGTGCGTAAAATGTTGGACTAATTGCTTGCAATATTGCTTAAACAATTTACAAATAACTTCTGCATTATTTGTGCGCATCCATGGTTTCATGAAAATCAATGGTCAAATGTATGAGACAGGCCCTTTCGGCTTTAGTGTGACCGTTTCAAATCAAGCAAATATACCGCAAAATACTGTTTGTAGTTATTTTGAATGCATTTTCGCAATATATAAGTTTCTTTAGGTAACAAAGATAAAGCAATATATTTGTTAGACTAAAATCGAAATTAGTATTTTTATAAAACGAATTTAAGAACGAATCGATATGGGATATGTGCTGGTAATTCAAAACTAATGCAATGTTTGTATTTTTTGTTTATTTTTTTTTACATTTACAGCCTGTTATGCCATGCAAAACGCAGGGTCGACCATAAGGTGTAAATACAACTGCACTTGCAAGCCGACACACCGACAATTAAACTTATTTTCATCGCGCGCGCGCCAATGTCAGCTGATGACCGGTTAAATTTAATTTGACTACAAGATATATATATATATATAAAAAAAAAAAAAAAAAAAAAACAAACAAAACAACTAATAACTATTGTTGTTTGTTGTCGTTGGCGTAACTTTAGCAGAATACGTCAACCAAACTTTATAAAAATTGTTAGAAATTTGTGGGGAAAAATGTGCAAAAGTGTGTTTGTTAAATTGTTAGCCAAAATTATTTGTTTACCTAGTACTACATAGAACGTAACTGCCTTTCTTCATCCAACAAGAACAACAATAACAAAGATATTTCGACACACCGGACAAACAAACAAGCACACAAACTAAGAAACAGTAAACATAATACAACTGCATTCAATAATAGCCAACAAAATTTAACAAATCACCAAGGAAATGCTCAAATTGAATACTTAAATGTCAAGCGACAGCAGCACTGAGGCCACAGCAGCAAACAACATAACAGAAACAACAACTGTAAGCTAACAGAAGAACAACAAACAACAGAGCAACAGTAGGGCAGTTGCGAACTTTGGACTAAAGAGGAGAAGCGCAACAGTGGTAGCTGCTTGCCGTATGCATTGGACGCATGCGCGACATGCGTGGACGTTAAGTGAGTGTGCGTGTGTGTGTGTGTGTGTGCGCGCCTGTGTGTGCGTGTGTATGCCACTGCATGTGTGTGCACGCACAACAAAAGCAGCATCAACAACAAACAACAAACCTGAAAATAAAGTCCACACATTCAACAGTTTGAACCAAATATTTTGAGCCACAATTTCGCATTTCAACAACGTTTTGGATCAATCTTATCAACAATCGATAGCCGTTGCTATTAGTTTCATTTATTATCTTTCAAAATTCTGTGGAAAGTGATTGCGTTTTTCAGTCAAAATTCAAGGGAACGTGCCGAATATTTCTCTCTCAGCAGTACCAGCTACAACAACCAGAACAACAACATGCAGCGACGCGAACGGCAAGCAAGGTGAGTGTTGCACCCAATTTATTTCATCCAAACCATACTATATATCAGCTATATGAGTATAACCATCGAATACCCTCCGACAGCAGATTTACTTTCATTCACCGTTGGCTAAACGTGGTTGTTAGGACACTGCGTCAGTGGTATGCAAAGCTCCCCATAATTTCCAACTGCTTTAAAAGTTCCAAAATCGTGCGTAAATTTGCCATTTGCCATTTATTCATTTCAGATTTTTTGTATCATTTCGTTTTGACACAACATTCAAACCAAAAATAATTCTTTCTCAAAAAAACCTCAATCGCAGCTGACACGCTCCAATTCCCAAATCCCAACCATCTACTCTCAAGGTACTCCTTTATGCATTATATTTTCTGGTATTCCTATGAATTCGTTGATTGAGTTTATTGTTTGATGGGATAAACATCATTGATGTTGTGTCGTTTAGTTCAGACCAAGTTCGATTGAACGGGTCATTAAAATGAACTAGTGAACTTATTCAGTGATTAGTGAACTAAATCGGTCATGAACGATACACTCTGTACTCGTTTTTTGCAAATGATCACATGAAAAATAACTGAAAAATAACTGATAATATAATCGTTCATGATTGACTGCATAACTGAACGAGTGAACTAAATGACCGATTTAGTTCACGATCAGAAACAGAACAAGTGAACTTATTTAGCAAATTGAACCAGAAATCCGCACTCTAAACATCATATATGTATAAGAAAAAATGAAATCGATTTCTTCTCTTTGCTCAGGGTTGTCATTGATAAATAATAGAAGAACATTGCACTAGTGCGATCATGAGCAATATATTCAAACTCTTGTTTGTTATCTCATTTTTTCGCCTTACTTAAGGTAACGCGAAAAAACGTTCATTATAATGATTTATATACGTCCGTATTTTTATACGCAGTTGTTATCAGGCTGCTGCTCAAAAATGTTGCAAATAAATTAAAGTGTTTGCCGATTAGATAATTCAAAAAGACAGATCTTTTGGACCTCGAAGATGAATTACCCTTTATTTGATTACTGAACGTTAAACACTGAAAACTTATTTATTTTTTACTGAAAGCGTGCATTTAGTGGAAGTTTTTACTGGAACTCTCAATATACAATACAAACATTTTTTAATCTGTTTTCGACATGTTTAAGCAAACAAGAAAACTATAAGAATGAAATATTAAAATTAAAAATCGGAATTCAGATTTTATCTTAATACGCTTATCCAAATTTTCAACCGGATATAAACATTTTAGTTCGCATAAACATTTGCAAACCTACTTATTATTAGTACATTTTCTTAAGTTTCTAACAATTTATCAATAATTATAGATTTCTTATCTTATTATTATTATTAGACTCAAAAGACTGGATTCCTAAGAGAAATATGTATAAAAACATTTGAGGTATATTTAAATTTCGGTCAGTTCCTTTCCAATGTAATTATTTGAATGTGCTTAAATATGAAACAGTTGTACACTACGCTTCAAATTAATTTAAAATTGCCTTCTATTTGTTCCTTATTTTAATCCAAGGTTTTCTTTTTGCATCAACAAATTCTGATTTCTTGTGGAACAAATGTCTCATTAGCTAGAGATGTTACTCGAATTCAAAGCAAATGCTAATACAAAATTAAAAATAAAAGCTAAAACTAGTTTTGACTATATAATCTGAGAGATGGTAGAATATTTTGAACACATTTAGGTACACCTCTAGTTTGTTTTAAATCATCGATAACTATATATCATCGAAATACTAAGGGTATTTGCTAGTCAGTAAATTTGCGGCAGATGATAATGGAAGAAAATTTGTATGGGAAGCAACTAGTGACGTTCTCGTCTGTAAATGTATGCGTTTAGTTGAATGCAATGCCCGTTATTTTGGCCATTGAGAAAACTTGTCTGATGCCAACTGTATTTGCTGAATACTCTTCTACAATATATTTGTATGGGTATATACATAAGTAGAAGTATGAATTTAAATGTAGCTACGCAATGTTTCGGAACACAGCATTCTTTGCGCTCTTTCGGATTTCCTATTTACTCTGCTTAGCGACTTTCATTGATTGCCAAGAGAAAAACTATTATTTGTTTTCTCTAGCATTTTATTTTTAGCAAATAGCATATATATTTAAACTTTTGTGTTTTATTGGATTCTCTTTACGCCTCCGTTTGGTGCTTTTCGATCAATTTTGTAATGCGATTCCTTGGCAGACACTCGTTTGAGGGTTAGACGAATGCTTTTTCAATCTATGGCCGATGCCTGCGCCTCTTCTCAGGAAGTGTATTGCTAAATGCAAGCACACTCGCATATGCATACATATTTCAGATATCGGCCCGGCCTCCTGTATCCGGCTCTGTCTCCGTCTCCGTCTCCGTTTCTCTCTCCGCCCGTATTCGAGCAAAGTGTAGTTGTTGTCATTTGTTTTACCTTGTGCCGGGTCTATTGACATTTCTAGGTTGCTGTTGACTTAGTTGTATGCGCGTTTGTTTATAGTTGTTTCCCCCTTGTTGCTATTATTATTATTATTATTTATATTATTCCTATTAGTATTATTCCGTAGGCCGTGTTTGTTGTCTGCATTTTGGTACTTAGATATGCCCGTATGTACATAGAATACATTTTCTTGTTTGGGGGCTTTCCCTTTGCCATCGACTAGAAACATATTTTCGTTTTTGGCATATTTTGCTCACGGCGACTAATAAGTTAGCAGAACAATAGGGCCTTGGGGAATAATTACTCGTGTAACTTTATGGCTTCAAGTGGCAAAAATAAAAATTAGTTGTGGCTTTTCTGGCCGAAAGCTATTCATGAGATTTGCACCAATTCAAGAATTCGTGTGTTGCTGAACAAAAAATATCTAATTCAGTTAGTTAATCAAGTCTGCAAACCTGTTTGAACCCGGAATCTCCACGAACCGGATCAGCTGACTTGAGAACAGACAAAACTAATTAGTATTGTGATTAAGAAAAAAAAAAACAATTGTAAAATAAGTTGAATTGTTCGATTGAAAATTTAAGAAACCCAAGTGAATAGATGCGAAAAGAAATATCAACAATTTAAACGTATTTAATTATGATATATGGAATAAGGAACTCTTTAGAATACAAGAATTAGGCGCTCAAAGAAATGATCTTTATTTAATCAAAACAATTATGTGTATTGAATACTTTACGAACATCTGTTGCATTGCAAAGAATAAACACGAAAACAAAAACATATGAAACCCACCAAGCAAACAATTGCATCATCTGTGTACACATTACGGCTTCTATATGTCCCTTAGGTCTAGAGTCTATCGTGGTGTTAATAATTAATTGATTAAATATTGGAACAGCGCTCTAGAGTGATTTAACCTTCGATCAAAACTTTATGAAATGCATATTGCATATACAAATGTTGTAATTATCTGGCAAGACCCGAGAAGCAGTTCGGGGACTTGAGATTGGGGTTATTGAGCCCTTCACAGAGTCGCTGATATGTGGAACATTTGACCTCAATTATGAAGAAAAGGCGAGATACAAAGAGAGCAAGAGAAACCGGGAGAGAGAACCTGAGAGATAGCACTTGAATATCAGTGGGTTGCTGCTGTTGCAGCCAAACACAAGCGTAATTAATTAATTGAAATAAAATGTATGCTTATTTTGTCGTCGAAAAACTTGACTAGAAACAAAAAAAATGACAGCCTCATTTAAAAGAGAAATCATAATTGATGTCAAAATAAAACCAGTTGCGTCTGCTGCTAATAATAAAGATCACGGCTCGAAGAGAATTACAAAAAATGATTAATTCAAGAGACTCAACTCAAGGCTCTCCTCTCGTTGTCTGGGGGGATGCTTTGTTGATTAAAAATGACTGAAATTGTTCTTGAACCCAACTTTGGCCGTCGCCACTCGAACGCCTCGGAAGCGTTGCGAGTGCATTTCGACTGGCGACTTATTTGATGCGGTTGCAAGTAAAACTGCGAACCGAGAAGTGAGAACTGTGAAACTGAAAACTGAAAACTTGACCAAACTTTTAGCGCTTTTAATGACTCAAAGTCTATGTCTATGCCAGACGTTGATAAAGATGACGATGCAGTCCAAGATAAATAGAGCGGCAGTGGGAGCCAAGAGGGGCCTTTCAAACTTTTCAAAAGTACTTGACGTTTGTTTTGCACTTGAGTTCTTTAGCGCAGGCGAAAGAGAATTGCTGCGAGAAGTTGCTACAAGTTGAGACACCTCGACTACAAATGCATAAGTCATCAGAGACTGCCGCCAAGCAGAAATTAACATATAATAATATTTCAAAATTTGAAAATATATTTGAAATCGGAGAAAAACAAACATTAATAGTAATTACTTAACAATTTGTTACATTATGTTAAATGAAAGCTTTTCTTGTTATAGAATTTTCATAGACGCTTTTCTTTTGAAATTTCTGCTAAGCCTTATTGACATCTGCAAATTTTCTTTTAAATGTTTGCAATTTGATTTATTTTAAATTATCGATTAGCTTTGCAATCTTTTTTCTTTTGCTTGGTATTTTTATTTATTTTTAAATATTTTTTCTTTGCGCGAATACGAATACGAATTCTTTGCGCAATGTACCGCATCCCAACTCCCGCCAGAAGGGCGCAATCGTGTAACGTCGTACGAGTTGCGAAGTACAGAATGAGTTCAATCTATGAATATATACAAAGACCATTTACTTGCTTAATAGTTTAGAATTGATGACTTTATTGGAGAAAGAGAAGACTCCAAGTAGGATAATCCACAGGCTTGTTAGCAGAC